GTGGAAGTACTTCCATGTCTAGTTGGTAACCGTGACAACGTTGAGAACGTAATTGTCCTTGAGGATGCTCCAGTTCTTCCAAAATCGACTCACTCTTCCGTCTACAGGGGTATCGACAATTGGGACAACTTGGGGCGGGAGATCCCAGTCGTGACTGTCCAACATTTCAGTGTTTACCCCTCCTATCACCTCCCTGACTGTGGTATTTACCACGTTGGGATTGATAAGAACCTTGAGGTTTCCCTCTGCCACGTCCTCTACCACGAAAGGAATCTTGCGCCTTCCTTGAGGGACTCGCATCTTCTTGATCGCTGGGATAAACTGTGAGAAATGTGCTCCAAAGCCTTGAGTGCCGTCTCATCCCTAGCGTAACTGAAAACTTTGGCATGCGTGTCTGTAATCTGTTCATTGAACAGAGACGTGGAAGACCTGCGCTTAAACTCCAAGTCCCAAGTAGATAGGGCTAAATAACCAAGTCTCCGTGTGAGAGTTATTTCCTCCAACCCGGCTTTGAAGTGATTTCTCATATGGTCAATCTGATGCTGTTGAAAATCAACTATACCGTATTTTCTTGAGTATAGTGCACACTTTTTTTCCAAAAAACACAGATGTGTAGAAGGGGGTGCGCATTATACACAAATTATGAGTTTGGATGTTTTTTTCCCCCATGCAAAGACATTACTGTGAGCACGTAACACCGGAAATACCATGTCAACAAATCCATACTGAAGTACGCAAATTATTCACATAATTACACTGTCTGGCTATAAAAAGTGTTCTTTGTATATCTGGACTTATGTTTGTAACTTATTTCATTAATTTTATTCAAAATTCCTTTTAATATATTGTTTTTATTAATTTCGGCGAAATCGTGTGTGAAGCGATCGGAAGATTGCACAACTCACCGTTATTAACAGCAACCACGGTCAGAATACCGCTATTGACGCCTTGAAACGAACTTTAGTTGACAGAGAATGGATACATATATCATAAATGACATACTTTGACTCGTTAAAAGTCATATTTGTTTTTGTTTGACGATTCTATGTCAACATGAAATTCTCGCAATCACGCGATCACGTGCGCGTGAGCCTTGACGGTGACTGGTCAGACTGGGTCCATGTAAAAAATAATACCCGGGAATAGCGATCAGCTGCTTCGCTTAGGGTTATTATTTATTTTAAATATGTTTAGTAAAGGCTGCATATAATTAAGAAAGTAATGGAATATATTATTCCTGTTAAAAAAAATAGTTTCAGATACAATTTTTGCCGATCCTTGCATTAAAAATCCTATAAAGTTATATCATTGGGTGTGTCTTGACCGAATCACCGGTCGATTCCAAGAAAATGTGTGTACAGCTGATTGCTGTTTCCGGCTTGGTTTACGAGAAAATACACAAGGTAATCTTAATCCCTGGTTATAAAACAATGCCTAGCAGAACAATAAATACTATTTAAATGGTAAATATATATGTTTGGTGATTTTTTATCTCAAATTTCGAATTTGTATTGACTAAGTGTCTCATCACCCGTTTGTTTGCCGGACTTCGCTGAAAGGGTACGGTGTAATTTTTTTCTGCGCATAATATTCAAATTTCTTTTTTTTCCAAAATATTGGACCCGCTAGAGGGGGTGCGCATTATACATGGGTGCGCACTATACTCAAGAAAGTGATCTAGTCGGTTAGGGTTATCCTCTGACAGATCCTGCTCTACCGCCCGTGCTGACGATGCTAAAGCTGATGCTAAAGGTTTTAATACCCTTCGAATTTCCGTTTCAATAAGTTTACGCAACTCCCGTATACTGAACTTTAAGAGTAGTAGGCCTTGAAAAGCCTGCCATTCTCTGTATATCCTCATCCAAACTATGTGCCTGGTCTGCTGCCTCAAAGCCATGAATAGGAAATACATCTTTCCTAAACCTGGGAGGCTTGAATGACAGAGTAAGTGTCAGCCTGGAAAAGTCCTCATCCAAAGATCTAATCATATCTGACATCATGGGGTCGATCGGAATCGACGTAGAATGTGTCCAAATAGTATCTTTCCCCCCGTTACCCGGGGAGGGTACTGAAATGAGGCGGTCAGCTACCCAATCAGGTACTTGTGCCAGGCCAAGGTGAGTATTCCATTCTGTCGAGGAATCTACCTCTTCACCATACGAATAATCCTACAAATCAGAACGATGTTGACGTGTGCGTCTAGATGGTGAACGACTTCTACTCCGATGTTTGGTGCTACCTATGACCGAGGGCTTAGATGAACTGCCTGGTGAATAGGAGTCACGAGTCGATGTCCAAGTACACGCAGGTGCACTGGTTCTACTCAATGATGAATGCATTGTATTATGACGCACAATGGGAGTATTATATACATTAGGCACTGGAGTAGGTGGTAGGCGTGGGCGCAGGATACAATTGTGTCATGGACTGCTGCCACATGGATTGTAAAAATAATTTGCATCCAATTAGTGTTCTGTAATGGCAATAGGCGCCTGAGCTTGCATCTGCTGCGCTGGATACATTGGTGCAGCGCTTAGCTGATCATGTGCTGCTTGCGTAATATTGTACGCTGATAGCCCTGGGGCTGGCATCATTGTAGATGCGCTCGGCGCAAGCATATGAGGCGCAATGGTGTAGGCTTGTGTGTTTGGGTTTTTTGCTACCCCCGACAAAGCATCTTGAGACGCTGGTGCACTGTTCGCAGATCTAGCAGATGTAGATTTCTCAGAAGACTGCAAATTAGGGTCAATTATAATACTCACAATATCCTCAGGATTGGAGGTTTTCGGCGGGACGTGCACTTCCGCAGTGACAGTAACGGCCGACATATTACCCGTCGAAGATAATGGTTGCATCATAATGACTGAACCATGTCCCTTGCTAATCAGTGATTGTGACATCTTCCTAGTCTCACGACTGGATTGCTGCAAAATATATTCGTGAGTAACCTGCCCATACCTCGTAAAACTCGTTGGGGAGAGATTTAGGCAAAAAACACATTTAGAATTTGGTGCACAAATTTGCGTACATGCCAAACAACGTGGATGAGGGTCTTTAATAGATTTTTTTCCACGACCTTTAGTACAACGGGCAAGCATAAGGTACGTGATATAGATACTTTGATGAAAAGGGACTGGAAAAAGTGCCGTAAAAAACTAGTTAATCTATCGGCAAATTTTGTAATGAGTTGAATGTGTATTCAATGATTTGTATATATACGCAACTCAATGAAACGCCAAAGCTAGTAGTATTCAAAAACACATAAATATGTTTTATACATACATAGCTGAGAATTGTAAACAAATTGACTACCCTGGCAGGCAAACAATTGTAACACAATTCAAAATATCGGTGAACAGCATGTGGCGGGAAAAAAAGACGCCTAATCAAATCATATACAACTTCACAACATGTTGAAAGTAATATGAAAAGAATCAGAGCTCCAGATAAGCTGCGTATCTGCGTGAAATACACATCAGAAATAGAGAAAGACGCATTAAAATAAAATCCAAGCGTATCAAATATGCAACGAACATTACAGATACACTACAAAAATAAAAATTGTGCGTATCATCTAAATATTGTGAAGTAACCCTGCGTATTCGATTAGCAACTTATTTTGAAATTATAAACGGCATTCCGTCAACCTTGCCAAACTCCACGATGACAGTTACATCATGATCATTTGCAATCACACTTTCTTGTGGAAGTATCGTGGTATTTTTTAGTCCTGTAAAGCTCTCGAACCCACACGGCACCAGTTTGCAGGGACTAGATGAATAGTGTTTAAATATTTAACTTAAATACCCACATGTGTAAAAACTAGTGGGTAACAGAAATTTGAATACCCAGATAGAATTACTGATACCCAATGATTTTAAAATGCATGGGTAAAATACCCACAACACCAAAAGCTTATCTGGAGCACTGAAGAATACATCACCCATCGCAGATGAATTTTATATTGTAGACGAAAACTGAAGGTCTAAATGAATTCAAACGAGAGCTCCGCTGGTACACGTCCGAGCTGTAGCGCGACAGGCAGTGATGTGAAGAGGTGACCTAGGTCACGTGAGGTAACAGGGACAGCGATGGTGTGGTGAAAAAGAGGGATTCAGGAACAGTTTATTTGACTTCACCCAGGACCATCACCGGTACGCCGTCCCAGGATTTTTGTCGCAAGGCAAGCAGTGAATGCATTAAGGAGTAATGCAGGATAAGTAAAAAATTAATTATTTAAAGTTTTGCAAGAAACAGAAATCTATTTCAATGTTTACAAATTCTTGATTCGAACCCACAATCATAGGTTTCTGGCGTGACCAAGGGACGCAACTCTGCACAGCAAATCGCGGCGCCTTAGACGCCTCGGCCACCCGTGCCCCCTTTCAAGATTGGGTGAAAGAGACACTGCTTGGAGTCGCTGCTTTTTTCGACACCAACTCTGACAAGTCTTAATACTAGTAATAACAACAGGGCATGGCATGCAAGTTCAAATTTCTCTTAATCACAATATTTTTTCGGATTTATGGGGTACAAATCAGCGAGGATTTCAAGCAAAGTTCCATTGGCAGGTAATTCAGGAAAAAAAATCATTTTGTTCACATTTGGGATATTTATAAAGTTAGTTTTTTTCTTCTGAAATTCAGAGGTATGTAAACATTGAAAACATCAAATTCAATGAAACAATTTAAAAACTGAGATAAAAGGCCTTTCACTTTACTGGTCCTGTTACCAGGGAAATACAAGTCACCTCTACAAGGCCAAAATATTAGTTAAATATTATGAGGATGTAAATTTTAATTCCAATTTGGTAATCGTACTGTATTTTCCAGCAGACATGGGGCACAGTACGTCTGAAAGCAGGTCCGGATAAATCCCTGCCAGTGCTCCTGTTCATGTAGCGAGGTTTTAATGTGCCTGCCATCATTGCGGAACATGAGCTAGAGATCATACATCTTGTATACAAGGACTGTAGGTATACTGTGAAAGGCTGTATCTACCTGTGTCATGGGGCAGCATCCCCAGCTTCCTGACGCCATCTTACAACAGGTAGAGCCTGTTGGACACTCCGTCTCACCCCCAGGACACTCCACCGAAACTCCCACCTCCTGTAGAACAGAACACACATGTAATAGAGCATCTCACCCCTGACACACCAACCCCCTGTAGAACAGAACACACATGAAACAGAGAATCTCACCCCTGACACACCCACCTCCTGTTACTAGAACATAACACACATGTAACAGAGAATCTCACCCCTGACACACCCACCTCCTGTTACTAGAACAGAACACACATGTAATAGAGAATCTCACCCCTGACACACCCACCTCCTGTAGAACAGAACACACATGTAACAGAGAATCTCACCCCTGACACACCCACCTCCTGTTACTAGAACAGAACACACATGTAATAGAGAATCTCACCCCTGACACACCCACCTCCTGTTACTAGAACATAACACATGTGTAATAGAGAATCTCACCCCTGACACACCCACCTCCTGTTACTAGAACATAACACATGTGTAATAGAGAATCTCACCCCTGACGCACCCACCTCCTGTTACTAGAACATAACACACATGTAATAGAGAATCTCACCCCTGACACACCCACCTCCTGTTACTAGAACATAACACACATGTAATAGAGAATCTCACCCCTGACGCACCCACCTCCTGTTACTAGAACATAACACACATGTAATAGAGAATCTCACCCCTGACACACCCACCTCCTGTAGAACAGAACACACATGTAATAGAGAATCTCACCCCTGACACTGCCACCTCCTGTTACTAGAACATAAGACATATGTAATAGAGAATCTCACCCCTGACGCACCCACCTCCTGTTACTAGAACATAACACACATGTAATAGAGAATCTCACCCCTGACACACCCACCTCCTGTTACTAGAACATAACACACATGTAACAGAGAATCTCACCCCTGACACACCCACCTCCTGTTACTAGAACAGAACACACATGTAATAGAGAATCTCACCCCTGACACACCCACCTCCTGTAGAACAGAACACACATGTAACAGAGAATCTCACCCCTGACACACCCACCTCCTGTTACTAGAACAGAACACACATGTAATAGAGAATCTCACCCCTGACACACCCACCTCCTGTTACTAGAACATAACACATGTGTAATAGAGAATCTCACCCCTGACACACCCACCTCCTGTTACTAGAACATAACACATGTGTAATAGAGAATCTCACCCCTGACGCACCCACCTCCTGTTACTAGAACATAACACACATGTAATAGAGAATCTCACCCCTGACACACCCACCTCCTGTTACTAGAACATAACACACATGTAATAGAGAATCTCACCCCTGACGCACCCACCTCCTGTTACTAGAACATAACACACATGTAATAGAGAATCTCACCCCTGACACACCCACCTCCTGTAGAACAGAACACACATGTAATAGAGAATCTCACCCCTGACACTGCCACCTCCTGTTACTAGAACATAAGACATATGTAATAGAGAATCTCACCCCTGACGCACCCACCTCCTGTTACTAGAACATAACACACATGTAATAGAGAATCTCACCCCTGACACACCCACCTCCTGTTACTAGAACATAACACATGTGTAATAGAGAATCTCACCCCTGACACACCCACCTCCTGTTACTAGAACATAACACATGTGTAATAGAGAGTCTCACCCCTGACGCACCCACCTCCTGTTACTAGAACATAACACACATGTAATAGAGAATCTCACCCCTGTCACACCCACCTCCTGTTACTGGAACATAACACACATGTAATAGAGAATCTCACCCCTGACGCACCCACCTCCTGTTACTAGAACATAACACATGTGCAATAGAGAATCTCACCCCTGACACACCCACCTCCTGTAGAACAGAACACACATGTAACAGAGAATCTCACCCCTGACACTGCCACCTCCTGTTACTAGAACAGAACACACATGTAATAGAGAATCTCACCCCTGACACACCCACCTCCTGTTACTAGAACATAACACACATGTAATAGAGAATCTCACCCCTGACACACCCACCTCCTGTAGAACAGAACACACATGTAACAGAGAATCTCACCCCTGACACACCCACCTCCTGTTACTAGAACATAACACACATGTAACAGAGAATCTCACCCCTGACACACCCACCTCCTGTTACTAGAACAGAACACACATGTAATAGAGAATCTCACCCCTGACACACCCACCTCCTGTAGAACAGAACACACATGTAACAGAGAATCTCACCCCTGACACACCCACCTCCTGTTACTAGAACAGAACACACATGTAATAGAGAATCTCACCCCTGACACACCCACCTCCTGTTACTAGAACATAACACATGTGTAATAGAGAATCTCACCCCTGACACACCCACCTCCTGTTACTAGAACATAACACATGTGTAATAGAGAATCTCACCCCTGACGCACCCACCTCCTGTTACTAGAACATAACACACATGTAATAGAGAATCTCACCCCTGACACACCCACCTCCTGTTACTAGAACATAACACACATGTAATAGAGAATCTCACCCCTGACGCACCCACCTCCTGTTACTAGAACATAACACACATGTAATAGAGAATCTCACCCCTGACACACCCACCTCCTGTAGAACAGAACACACATGTAATAGAGAATCTCACCCCTGACACTGCCACCTCCTGTTACTAGAACATAAGACATATGTAATAGAGAATCTCACCCCTGACGCACCCACCTCCTGTTACTAGAACATAACACACATGTAATAGAGAATCTCACCCCTGACACACCCACCTCCTGTTACTAGAACATAACACATGTGTAATAGAGAATCTCACCCCTGACACACCCACCTCCTGTTACTAGAACATAACACATGTGTAATAGAGAGTCTCACCCCTGACGCACCCACCTCCTGTTACTAGAACATAACACACATGTAATAGAGAATCTCACCCCTGTCACACCCACCTCCTGTAGAACAGAACACACATGTAACAGAGAATCTCACCCCTGACACTGCCACCTCCTGTTACTAGAACAGAACACACATGTAATAGAGAATCTCACCCCTGACACACCCACCTCCTGTTACTAGAACATAACACACATGTAATAGAGAATCTCACCCCTGACACACCCACCTCCTGTTACTAGAACATAACACACATGTAATAGAGAATCTCACCCCTGACGCACCCACCTCCTGTTACTAGAACATAACACATGTGTAATAGAGAATCTCACCCCTGACGCACCCACCTCCTGTTACTAGAACATAACACATGTGTAATAGAGAATCTCACCCCTGACACACCCACCTCCTGTAGAACAGAACACACATGTAACAGAGAATCTCACCCCTGACACACCCACCTCCTGTTACTAGAACATAACACACATGTAACAGAGAATCTCACCCCTGACACACCCACCTCCTGTTACTAGAACAGAACACACATGTAATAGAGAATCTCACCCCTGACACACCCACCTCCTGTAGAACAGAACACACATGTAACAGAGAATCTCACCCCTGACACACCCACCTCCTGTTACTAGAACAGAACACACATGTAATAGAGAATCTCACCCCTGACACACCCACCTCCTGTTACTAGAACATAACACATGTGTAATAGAGAATCTCACCCCTGACACACCCACCTCCTGTTACTAGAACATAACACATGTGTAATAGAGAATCTCACCCCTGACGCACCCACCTCCTGTTACTAGAACATAACACACATGTAATAGAGAATCTCACCCCTGACACACCCACCTCCTGTTACTAGAACAGAACACACATGTAATAGAGAATCTCACCCCTGACACACCCACCTCCTGTAGAACAGAACACACATGTAATAGAGAATCTCACCCCTGACACACCCACCTCCTGTTACTAGAACAGAACACACATGTAATAGAGAATCTCACCCCTGACACACCCACCTCCTGTTACTAGAACATAACACATATGTAATAGAGAATCTCACCCCTGACACACCCACCTCCTGTTACTAGAACATAACACATATGTAATAGAGAATCTCACCCCTGACACACCCACCTCCTGTTACTAGAACAGAACACACATGTAATAGAGAATCTCACCCCTGACACACCCACCTCCTGTTACTAGAACATAACACACATGTAATAGAGAATCTCACCCCTGACACACCCACCTCCTGTAGAACAGAACACACATGTAATAGAGAATCTCACCCCTGACACACCCACCTCCTGTTACTAGAACATAACACACATGTAATAGAGAATCTCACCCCTGACACACCCACCTCCTGTAGAACAGAACACACATGTAACAGAGAATCTCACCCCTGACACTGCCACCTCCTGTTACTAGAACAGAACACACATGTAATAGAGAATCTCACCCCTGACACACCCACCTCCTGTAGAACATAACACACATGTAATAGAGAATCTCACCCTGGGACTCTCCACTGACACACCCACCTCCTGTTACTGGAACATGTTATCATCTTACCATTGTTATCATTGCATCAAAATTCTTTTCTGTTATATTATTGAGTATGTCTTAACGTAATCACCAGTAGATTGAGAGAAAACGTGTGTACAGCTGATTGCTATTTCCGGCTTTGTTTACAAGACAATATACACGGTAATCTTTATCCCTATAAAACAATGCCTAGCATAACAAGAAATACAATCGAAATAGTCAATCATAATGTCTAGTGATATTTAATCGTAAATTATCACAATTTCATTGACAAACTTTGTCACAGCGTTGTCCATTCACCTGGAGAGATACGATGTAATTTTTTTACCAACAGAAATAGGGTTTGATGAAAGTGTAACCTTTACATAGGCCGACCCCTTTGTACAGAATTCTGTTTCTTGTCCTTAAAACTTGGCTTATCCATGGTCATAGACGGTAGGTACACTTCGGCAGCACCAGGACAATCTTTCAAAATATTCCACGACTGCGTGAAAATAGTGGGGCTAGGTATAAAGTGGGATATCACCATGATGGATAGAAGTCATTAGACATCGCCCATGGGGGGTCTTACAGGACAGTACCATGAACATACTGGTACATAAGATGGTACTGCCATTGAAAGCATCACTGAAGAATGACATACCTCCCCTTGCTTACCATTATTCTGTAAATAGTTTGAGTGGATTAAGGCTTAGACAACTGGGCCACCCGTGCCCCCCAGACAAACCTAGAAACATAATCGGGTCGTAAAGGGGTTGGAACCTTGGTTCTGCCGTGCCCAAGGGATGCTCCCTAGCAAATTGCAGCGCCTCAATAGACTGGGCCACCCGTGCCCTTATGTGCATTAGAGTTGGCGATATATGGTAGGGATGGGAGCAGCTAGGCCAGTTTTACCTGAACATGCATCAGGGTCTTCTGTCTCATCTGTTGGCTGTCTGCACCAGGGTCACTGATCGTGATGCCTCCTGAAGACTGGCTTGTTGAAGACTTCTGCATCCAGGAAACTGAGACTCCATCTTGTCTGTTACATTTGCCGGCTGACATGTCACAAGTTGTTCCAGAGGGGCAGCAGTGTACTTTGTCAGGACAACACACGGCCTGGAAACAGAAAGAAGCAGTGATAACACAAAACGTTTTAATTGGCGAGTGAGTGAGTGAGTGAGTGAGTGAGTGAGTGAGTGAGTGAGTGAGTGAGTGAGTGAGTGAGTGAGTGAGTGAGTGAGTGAGTGAGTGAGTGAGTGAGTGAGTGAGTGAGTGCTTTCAGCAATTTCCCAGCAATATCACGGCGGGGGACACCACAAATGGCATAACACATTGTACCCATTGAGGAATCGAACCCGGGTCTTCAGCGTGATGAGCGAACGCTTTAACCACCAGGCTACCCCACCGCCCCCAGCTATACTGAACAAAACAAAGTTAGGGATCATGAAATATGTTTACCGTTCAACATAATCAAATATGGTACATAGTTTCTTGAGAAGTAGGAAAACTGTGGCAACAACCGATACTCGTGATTTTTAAACATGAACATGATGAATCAGGTTGTTAAAATCAATTCTGTATGTAAAGAGTTTAAGAACAAGAGATTTTTAATGTTAAAAATAGCCAAAACTTGAGCAGATTGTCATTTCTTTATGTGGAAACTAGGGTTGGGACGAGTCCAAATTTACTACCCCTGTACCAATCCTCCTATTACCCGACCCTATCAGAGTACCCGCTGTAGGTCTCAAGGGATAGGTACAAAATGTATGATTGGGAAACGTTTGACCATAGCCCTGGCAAAATGTTTTGAGATACACATATAAAACGATCTGGTCATGCATACACTGAAATTGACTGAAGCTTTATTTTTATTCAAACATATATATGTCAGAAGGAAAGTGTGCATCGTCAGAAAGAAACTCGAACATTAGTGACCTGTAGTGTAACTATAGAGTTTTAGATAGTTTTTGTCATTAAACTATATATCACATGACTAACCACAGGTCCAGGTAGTCCTATGGGTACCCTGGTCCTACTCAGTACCCACCCAACCCGGGTCCCTGAGTTACCCAGCCCAGCCCTTGTGGAAACAACAGCGTATTGAATGAATAACATGCTACATGTACCCCCACTTACCCTCAAGCACTTACAAACATCAGTAACAATCTTGTACGTTACATCAATACAACCTAACAAGTTAACGACCATTTACTATGTGTGAACAAAGCCTCCATCCTGTCCAGTGGGATACCTTTATGCATGCCTCATGTGAGATGTCTATCTGCACCTTTTTCTCAAGCACACATAAATGTTGGAATCTGATTGGGTGAGGCCCATTCTATTATTTTCAATACACCCTGCTAACATGTAAGGTACATTTCTTGTGTTTCCCTCTTGAATTACAGAACTATTGGCATTACATTTGCAACAAGCCAACCGCAGTTACGAATTAATGATGTATGACGTTATTTTCCAAGTGAAGTGTGAGTGAGTGAGTTGGATTTAACGCCACTTTTAACAGAATTCCAGTTATATCATGGCGTGGCAGCTTAATGTGGGAGGAAAGCCTGAAGTGATGCAGGTCTCAGACGTTTACCACTTTGGTGAAACCCACGAGCACGGGTATGGTGCTGACAAACCTAGAAACCAAATCGGGGCGAACCTGGATTCGAACCCACAATCATAGGTTTGTGGCGTGCCCAAAGGACGCAACTCTGCACAGCGGATTGAGGAGCCTTAGATGAAATAGATCCATGGGCGATTATCTGTTTTCTTAAATGCCTAACTGTGGTACTCTATCAAATTTGGACCAGAGCATGCATGCATGAGACATACCTGCAATATCATTGGGTGTGCGGTAAGATAAATTTGTTGTCCACCGGTCATCAACTGGTAGCATCGATCCATGCCATTGGGATACGATGACATGCATCAACCAAGTCATTGAGTCTCACCACCCGATCCCGTTAGTCGCCTCTTACAACGAGCATAGTCAACTCTCATGGAAAGGTGATCTTCATGGGGCACATATGAAGTAACACACTTTACGTGAAGGCATTACAGACCAAGTGAAGTGACGCCCTTTACGTGAAGGCATTACAGATGAAGAGAAGTAACTCTTTACGTGAAGGCATTAGAGACCAAGGGAAATAACACCCTTTAAGTGAAGGCATTACAGACCAAGTGAAGTGAAGCCCTTCAAGTGAAGGCATTACAGACCAAGTGAAGTGAAGCCCTTCAAGTGAAGGCATTACAGACCAAGTGAAGTGAAGCCCTTGATGTGAAGGCAATGCAGACAAAGTGACGTGAAGCCTTTGATGTTAAGGCAATACAGACCAAGTGAAGTAACACCCTTTACGTGAAGGCATTACAGACCAAGTGAAGTGATGCCCTTGATGTGAAGGCAATACAGACCAAGTGAAGTGATGCCCTTGCTGTGAAGGCATTACAGACCAAGTGAAGTGACGCCCTTGATGTGAAGCCAATACAGACCAAGTGAAGTGATGTCCTTGGTGTGAAGGCATTACAGATGAAGAGAAGTAACTCTTTACGTGAAGGCATTACAGACCAAGTGAAGTGATGCCCTTGATGTGAAGGCAATACAGACCAAGTGAAGTGAAGCCCTTCAAGTGAAGGCATTACAGACCAAGTGAAGTGAAGCCCTTGATGTGAAGGCAATACAGACCAAGTGAAGTGAAGCCCTTCATGTGAAGGAAATACAGACCAAGTGAAGTGACACCCTTGATGTGAAGGCAATACAGACCAAGTGAAGTGATGCCCTTGATGTGAAGGCATTACAGACCAAGTGAAGTGATGTCTTTGATGTGAAGGCAATACAGACCAAGTAAAGTGATGCCCTTGATGTGAAGGCAATACAATACAGACCAAGTGAAGTGATGCCCTTCAAGTGAAGGCAATACAGACCAAGTGAAGTAACACCCTTGATGTGAAGGCAATACAGACAAAGTGAAGTGAAGCCCTTGATGTTAAGGCAATACAGACCAAGTGAAGTAACACCCTTGATGTGAAGGCAATACAGACAAAGTGAAGTGAAGCCCTTGATGTTAAGGCAATACAGACCAAGTGAAGTAACACCCTTTACGTGAAGGCATTACAGACCAAGTGAAGTAACACCCTTGATGTGAAGGCAATACAGACCAAGTGAGGTGATGCCCTTTCCATGAAGGCATTACAGACCAAGTGAAGTAATGCCCTTGATGTGAAGGCAATACAGACCAAGTGAAGTGATGCCCTTGATGTGAAGGCATCACAGACCAGGTGAAGTGATGTCCTTGATGTGAAGGCAATACAGACAAAAGTTAAGTAACACCCTTGATGTGAAGGCAATACAGACCACGTGAAGTGACGCCCTTCATGTGAAGGCAATACAGACCAAGTGAAGTGATGCCCTTGGTGTGAAGGCAATACAGACCAAGTGAAGTGATGCCCTTGATGTGAAGGCAATACAGACCAAGTGAAGTGACGCCCTTGATGTGAATACAATACAGACCAAGTGAGGTGAAGCCCTTGATGTGAAGGCAATACAGACCAAGTGAAGTGACGCCCTTGATGTGAAGGCATTACAGATGAAGAGAAGTAACTCTTTACGTGAAGGCAATACAGACCAAGTGAAGTGATGCCCTTGATGTGAAGGCAATACAGACCATGTGAAGTGATGCCCTAGATGTGAAGGCAATACAGACCAAGTGAAGTGACGCCCTTGATGTGAAGGCATTACAGATGAAGAGAAGTAACTCTTTACGTGAAGGCAATACAGACCAAGTGAAGTGATGCCCTTGATGTGAAGGCAATACAGACCAAGTGAAGTGATGCCCTTGGTGTGAAGACAATACAGAGCAAGTGAAGTGAACCCTTGATGTGAAGGCAATACAGACCAAGTGAAGTGACGCCCTTGATGTGAAGGCATTACAGATGAAGAGAAGTAACTCTTTACGTGAAGGCAATACAGACCAAGTGAAGTGATGCCCTTGATGTGAAGGCAATACAGACCATGTGAAGTGATGCCCTAGATGTGAAGGCAATACAGACCAAGTGAAGTGACGCCCTTGATGTGAAGGCATTACAGATGAAGAGAAGTAACTCTTTACGTGAAGGCAATACAGACCAAGTGAAGTGATGCCCTTGATGTGAAGGCAATACAGACCATGTGAAGTGATGCCCTAGATGTGAAGGCAATACAGACCAAGTGAAGTGATGCCCTTGATGTGAAGGCATTACAGACCAAGTGAAGTGATGCCCTTGATGTGAAGGCAATACAGACCAAGTGAAGTGATGCCCTTGATGTGAAGGCAATACAGACCAAGTGAAGTGATGCCCTTGATGTGAAGGCAATACAGACCAAGTGAAGTGATGCCCTTGATGTGAAGGCATTACAGACCAAGTGAAGTGATGCCCTTGATGTGAAGGCATTACAGACCAAGTGAAGTGATGCCCTTGATGTGAAGGCAATACAGACCAAGTGAAGTGACACCCTTGATGTGAAGGCAATACAGACCAAGTGAAGTGAAGCCCTTGATGTGAAGGCAATACAGACCAAGTGAAGTAACATCCTTGATGTGAAGGCAATGCAGACAAAGTGACGTGAAGCCTTTGATGTTAAGGCAATACAGACCAAGTGAAGTAACACCCTTTACGTGAAGGCATTACAGACCAAGTGAAGTGACGCCCTTGATGTGAATACAATACAGACCAAGTGAGGTGAAGCCCTTGATGTGAAGGCAATACAGACCAAGTGAAGTGACGCCCTTGATGTGAAGGAAATACAGACCAAGTGAGGTGAAGCCCTTGATGTGAAGGAAATACAGACCAAGTGAAGTGAGCCCTTGATCTGATGCCAGATGTGAAGTTCTTGGATTAAAAGCCAATAATGACAAAGTAGTCACGTCAAAAACGACTAATATTGCAATACTGATTCACAAACACTTGTTAATAACAAAAGAAGTTTATTTTCACACATCTCATACAAGACATTTAAAATATGGATATATTTACAAAAACATCCACAAGCAGCAGGCCTCTGTATGTGGCTACCTGTCTATTTATCTAAATATGTATCAATGCACTATGACAATTACAGGAAGAAGATACTTACAGATTATGAATGGATTTGTATAAAACACCTCGTGTTGTTCTATCCTATTAAACAACTGGCATGTTACCAAAGAACAGAGCTGGAGGAGGAATGCCAAAACAGCACTTAAAGTAACATGTACATATGACTAAAATACAACAATAATATCATTTGCAAAAATGTATTCAATGTTTGCAATGCACGTAAAAGCCAGTCCCAGAAGTATCTTTGCTGAGTGGTACGATACATGGAGGTTCAAGGTGTACCTCAAGGTGTACCTCAAGGTGTACCATCATGCACCTCATTTATCCTGCACATCCTATCATAACACATGAAAAAGAATCATCATTGTGAATTACATATATTTCTCATTGCTGACTATTTCTATGTGGGCCTTTGATGTAGCTTGTGTCAGTCAGGGAAAAGAATGTCTTACAGTTTGCGAAAACTTTGAAAATTGTGAAGATGCTAGTAAAAATAAATAAGTAATGCAAGCGAACAACCATCCTGGATATCTGACGAAACAGTTTCCATTGGGTGCAAAAGGCAAAGGACCACTGAAAGTAAGGGAGTGAGTATGGTTTTACGCCGCTTTTAGCAATACTCCAGCAATATCACGGCGGGGACACCAGAAATGGGCTTCACACATTGTACCCATGTTGGGAATCGAACCCGGGTCTTTGGCGTGATGAGCGAACGCTTTAACCACTTGGCTACCCGACCGCCCCTGAAAGTAAGTGATGACACTAGATGTTCGTGAAAAGGGTAAGCACGTCCTGCCCTTCCAGTGATGTCATGCAGTCTGTACAGGACTACAAGCCAACTTGTGTAGGTTTATAGATAACGGCATCTGGCCATTGTAGTGAGTGAGTGAGCGAGCTTGGTTTTACGCCGCTTTTAGCAATACTCCAGCAATATCACAGCGGGGAGACCAGAAATGGGCTTCACACATTGTACCCATGTTGGGAATCGAACCCCGGTCTTTGGCGTGACGAGCAAACGCTTTATCCACTAGGCTACCCGACCGCCCTCTGGCCATTGTAATCATAATGAGTCAGTGAGTATGGTTTTACGCCACTTTTTGCAATATTCCAGCAATATCACGGTGGGGGACACCAGAAATGGGCTTTACACATTGTACCCATGTGGGGAATCGAACCCGGGTCTTCAGCGTGACGAGCGAAAGTTTTAACCACTTGGCTACCCCACCGCCCATAATCATAATGAAATTGCTTACATTACAAACACTACACATGATATTCTGATCACATGATGTATCACAGATGGGGAAGAGTGAGTGAGTGAGTGAGGTTTTGATCTGCTCTTAATATTTGGGCAATATCACGGCAGAGGGCACAATAAATGGTCTTCACACAGTGTACCAATTTTGGGAATAGAACCAAGGCCTGGCCAAATCTTGGCAACAAGGCTACGCCTCTACCCTTTGGGGAAAAAAGACTTGACATATATACTGACAATACAAACTACCAGTACTATCATTAAATTAGGTTTTTACTTGTGTGGTTTAAAGTTTGAGGTATGTCATTGATGTGAGAACCCCGCGACACAGAAATGTGCTTCCCATCCGCAAAAATGTATAGAATGGACAATTAACAATAAATATTGTGTCCCGGGGGATGCACAAAAATATTCAATGTACTAAAACATAAAAATCCTGTAACTGAAGTCATCAATAAATCTTACAGTACAGTATGCTACACCATTTCATTACTTTACAGGACTTTCATATTTCCCGTAAGGACTAGGGATGGTATTGGAGGTTTAAAGTGCATCACAATATTTTGCAATGCACAAGGCCGTATTGCGATACGTATCACGATATATTGTATAATTCAAAATTTTTAATTCAGAAGCAATCTGATACATTAAGGTATGAACTGAAGATTATAAATGGAGCAAAACAAGATGCTGGTACAACATAAAGTTTACTCATTCAAAAAATATGCAGATATACCGGTAATACCTCACACCCTTAGAGAACCCTTGTAGTTAGTAACTGTGGGTCCTCTGGACCACTAGTTTTGTAGGTCAAGGTAAAACCCTGAAAAAATATTTAACAAATCTTCTAATCTACAGTAAAATCAAATGAAATATAGTGAGGTCAACAATATCTGGTTGCTGGGCAACAGCCAATCACATCATGTGACATAGAGCCTTGAATTGACACAAATCAGCAAGGGTGAGTGAACTCTGACCCTTCGCTATCATTTTCAACATATGCATTGTTAAAAGACAAATAATATGTGATGAATGAACCTCATTTGGTTACAAAATGAATCTTACATAGTTATGGACAACCAGTCAAAGTGACCTATAGCTGGAATCCAAATCGCCAGTCATTTGGAAATTTTGTCCATCTATGGTTGATGTCCAATGCTCATCTGAATGACTGTCATCTTCTGACTAGCTGGACGTTTGTTGAGCCAGGGAACAGACACACCCCCTGCTTTATTACATTTGCCATGTGGCATGTCACATGTGGTCCCATTTGGACAGCAGTGGGCGCCATCGGAGCAGCACACAGCCTGGGGAAGGGAAGCATTCAATTAGGACTCGCTTGTCTCAGGTTGATTTGATACCAGATGACTGGCGAGTGAGTGAGTGAGTGAATCATAATGATAAATTTAACGCAAGCAATTATGCAGCTATTCAAAAGCCAACATTTGTAATGAACTGAGTTCACTGTGTGCTTGATGTGAGTTAAGCATTCAAATCTGGAAATGGACATACACATGTACAGACAAGTACATAGAGCAAAACGTCAAGCTGAAGTATAATCATCCAAATGTCTTTTTTAGCCTGCATCCAGTTTACATCATGAGAACCGGCCCCAAATCTATGGTTACATATACAGTACTGTACAAGTAGATTTCTAGTAATATTCCTTTCCTTAAATGAAATATGCATGCATATCAATTTCCTGCAAGATATGTCCATGCTCAGATGAAGTGAGATACATCTCAATATGTCTGCAGCCTCCAGTGAGAGGCATCCATGCTCAGACCAAGTGAGAGGCATCCATGCTCAGGTCAAGTGAGAGACATCCATGCTCAGGTCAAGTGAGAGACATCTCAATATGTCTGTGGCTTCCAGTGAGAGGCATCCTTGCTCGGGTCAAGTGAGATACATCTCAATATGTCTGTAGCTTCAAGTGAGAGGCATTCATGCTGAGATCAAGTGAGAGGCATCCATGCTCAGACCAAGTGAGAGGCATCCATGCTCAGACCAAGTGAGAGGCATCCATGCTCAGACCAAGTGAGAGACATCTCAATATGTCTGTGGCTTCCAGTGAGAGGCATCCTTGCTCGGGTCAAGTGAGATACATCTCAATATGTCTGTAGCTTCAAGTGAGAGGCATTCATGCTGAGATCAAGTGAGAGGCATCCATGCTCAGACCAAGTGAGAGGCATTCATGCTCAGACCAAGTGAGAGGCATCCATGCTCAGACCAAGTGAGAGGCATTCATGCTCAGACCAAGTGAGAGGCATCCATGCTCAGACCAAGTGAGAGGCATCCATGCTCAGGTCAAGTGAGATATATCTCAATATGTCTGTAGCTTCAAGTGAGAGGCATTCATGCTGAGATCAAGTGAGAGGCATTCATGCTCAGACCAAGTGAGAGGCATCTCAATATGTCTGTAGCCTCCAGTGAGAGGCATCCATGCTCAGGTCAAGTGAGATATATCTCAATATGTCTGTAGCCTCTAGTGAGAGGCATCCATGCTCAGGTCAAGTGAGATACATCTCAATATGTCTGTAGCCTCCAGTGAGAGGCATCCATGCTCAGGTTAAGTGAGATACATCTTAATATGTCTGTAGCCTTCAGTGAGAGGCATCCATGCTCAGGTCAAGTGAGATACATCTCGATATATCTGTAGCCTCCAGTGAGAGGCATCCATGCTCAGGTCAAGTGAGATACATCTCAATATGACTGTAGCCTCCAGTGAGAGGCATCCATGCTCAGGTCAAGTGAGATACATCTCAATATGACTGTAGCCTCCAGTGAGAGGCATCCATGCTCAGGTCAAGTGAGAGGCATCTCTATATATCTGTAGCCTCCAGTGAGAGGCATCCATGCTCAGGTCAAGTGAGAGACATCTCAATATGTCTGTAGCCTCCAGTGAGAGGCATCCATGCTCAGATTAAGTGAGATATATCTCAATATGTCTGTAGCCTCCAGTGAGAGGCATCCATGCTCAGGTCAAGTGAGATACATCGATAGATTTAAAGTCACTGATGTCCATCCATTTTCTAAGGTTTACCATGAGATGTGTACATACACAGACTTTGCATGCAATATGTCCATGCTCACTTATAACCTCCACTCTGTCAATATGAAATATATAACTCAACCCTAAGACTACAGTAAACTTGTAAATTAGGACCGAGTGGTCAAACAACATGCAAGGTGTGACTGGCTTGTAATTCCATGCAGTAATCACCTGAGGGAGGGGGCAACACGCCCACTCTCCATTCACTCGTTTACAACAGGTGTTGTTTCCAGGACAGAAATGGCTGGGGTCACACATCACATCCTTCACTTTCCTTACAGCTGGACGTTTGTTGAGCCAGGGAACAGACACACCCCCTGCTTTATTACATTTGCCATGTGGCATGTCACATGTGGTCCCATTGGGACAGCAGTGGGCGCCATCGGAGCAGCACACAGCCTGGGAAAGGGAAGAATTTACTTAGGACTCTCTTTTCTCTGGTGGATTTGATACCAGAGGACTGGCTTGAAGTGAATAATGCTGCATTTTGCATAACAGTAGCATGTGGTGTCTCCTAGAAATTGTGCACATTCTTCATAAAAAAACCAATCTCAATTCAAATTAGGCAATATTAAGCTGATTAAAAGTAATCAAGTAAAGGCAGTCAGCTCAAGACAGATCCACCATACATCAGAGTAACATCAGAGTGAGACAACAGTCTCAAAGTGGTCGGCCATCGTACAACAGGTGCTTCTGTCAGGGTAGAAGTTCACACTGGCAGTGGTACTGCCAACACATGACATGCTAGACACAGACACAGCCGTCAGACTAAACTGAGGCATAGGACAGCATCCCCACTGGTGGTTGGCCATCATACAGCAGGTGTCCCCGTTCACACACTCATGTGTGGCATCACACTGGATGTCACCAACGTCCTTCCTAATGGCTGAAGTCTTCTCCATCCACGCTGTAACTACGCCCCCCTTACAACATGTTTTAGTGACCAAGTCACAGGTATTACCCTCAGGACATCAATGGGAGTGGTCAGAACAGCATACGGCCTACCAGATAATATACATAAACATGACTTTATGTGTACATATTTCATATTTAAATATTCCATAGCATCATGTTCATGCATATTCGCAGCCTTTTCTGTGAAATATATTTATTCATGTATTAATGCTACAAAGTGATGTGTGCATATATCTTTGGCCTCCTGTGAGATTTGATCATGCAGATACATTGCCTCCATTGGTATGTGGTCTTGGACATTCATAGCCTCTAGTGAAATATGGTAATACATGCATATGTTGGGCCTCTTGTGAAACATGTCCAATCAATACAGTTGAGTCTTCCAAATTCGAAGTGAGATATGTCCACACAAGGACAACTGTGACATGTGCTCAGTCACAGATAAAAAGTAAGATGGGAGATATTGCCAGTGAGATATGTTTAATCCATACAGAACAGTGGGATCTTCTTACCCAATACATAGTGAGATATGTCCACACAAGGACAACTGTGAGATGGATCATCACTAGGCATTCAGTGAGATGTGGCCATCCATAGATTTACAGTGAGATGTGTCCATACACGGACTTTGCATGCAACATGTCCATGCTCACTTATAACCTCCACTCTGTCAATATGAAATATATAACTCAACCCTAAGACTACAGTAAACTTGTAAATTAGGACCGAGTGGTCAAACAACATGCAAGGTGTGACTGGCTTGTAATTCCATGCAGTAATCACCTGAGGGAGGGGGCAACACGCCCACTCTCCATTCACTCGTTTACAACAGGTGTTGTTTCCAGGACAGAAATGGCTGGGGTCACACATCACATCCTTCACTTTCCTTACAGCTGGACGTTTGTTGAGCCAGGGAACAGACACACCCCCTGCTTTATTACATTTGCCATGTGGCATGTCACATGTGGTCCCATTGGGACAGCAGTGGGCGCCATCGGAGCAGCACACAGCCTGGGGAAGGGAAGCATTCAATTAGGACTCTCTTGTCTCGGGTTGATTTGATACCAGATGACTGGCGAGTGAGTGAGTGAATCATAATGATAAATTTAACGCAAGCAATTATGCAGCTATTCAAAAGCCAACATTTGTAATGAACAGAGTTCACTGTGTGCTTGATGTGAGTTAAGCATTCAAATCTGGAAATGGACATACACATGTACAGACAAGTACATGGAGCAAAACGTCAAGCTGAAGTAAAATCATCCAAATGTCTTTTTTAGCCTGCATCCAGTTTACATCATGAGAACAGGCGCAAAATCTATGGTTACATATACAGTACTGTACAAGTAGATTTCTAGTAATATTCCTTTCCTTAAATTTAATATGCATGCATATCAATTTCCTGCAAGATATGTCCATGCTCAGATAAAGTGAGATACATCTCGATATGTCTGTAGCCTCCAGTGAGAGGCATCCATGCTCAGGTCAAGTGAGATACATCTCAATATGTCTGTAGCCTCCAGTGAGAGGCATCCATGCTCGGATCAAGTGAGATACATCTCAATATGTCTGTAGCCTCCAGTGAGAGGCATCCATGCTCAGGTCAAGTGAGATACATCTCAATATGTCTGTAGCCTCCAGTGAGAGGCATCCATGCTCGGATCAAATGAGAGACATTCAAATGTGTCTGTAGCCTCCAGTGAGAGGCATATATGCTCAGATCAAGTGAGATACATCTCGATATATCTGTAGCCTCCAGTGAGAGGCATCCATGCTCAGATCAAGTGAGATACATCTCAATATGTCTGTAGCCTCCAGTGAGAGGCATCCATGCTCGGATCAAATGAGAGACATTGAAATATGACTGTAGCCTCCAGTGAGAGGCATCTATGCTCAGATCAAGTGAGATACATCTCAATATGTCTGTAGCCTCCAGTGAGAGGCATCCATGCTCGGATCAAATGAGAGACATTGAAATATGTCTGTAGCCTCCAGTGAGAGTCATCCATGCTCGGATCTAGTGAGATACATCGATAGATTTACAGTCACTGATGTCCATCCATTTTCTAAGGTTTACCATGAGATGTGTACATACACGGACTTTGCATGCAACATGTCCATGCTCACTTATAACCTTCAATCTGTCAATATGAAATATATAACTCAACCCTAAGACTACACTAAACTTGTAAATTAGGACCGAGTGGTCAAACAACATGCAAGGTGTGACTGGCTTGTAATTCCATGCAGTAATCACCTGAGGGAGGGGGCAACACGCCCACTCTCCATTCACTCGTTTACAACAGGTGTTGTTTCCAGGACAGAAATGGCTGGGGTCACACATCACATCCTTCACTTTCCTTACAGCTGGACGTTTGTTGAGCCAGGGAACAGACACACCCCCTGCTTTATTACATTTGCCATGTGGCATGTCACATGTGGTCCCATTGGGACAGCAGTGGGCGCCATCGGAGCAGCACACAGCCTGGGAAAGGGAAGCATTTACTTAGGACTCTCTTTTCTCTGGTGGATTTGATACCAGAGGACTGGCTTGAAGTGAATAATGCTGCATTTTGCATAACAGTAGCATGTGGTGTCTCCTAGAAATTGTGCACATTCTTCATAAAAAATCATCTCAATTCAAATTAGGCAATATTAAGCTGATTGAAAGTAATCAAGTAAAGGCAGTCAGCTCCAGACAGATCCACCAAACATCAGAGTAACATCAGAGTGAGACAATAGTCTCAAAGTGGTCGGCCATCGTACAACAGGTGCTTCTGTCAGGGTAGAAGTTCACACTGGCAGTGGTACTGCCAACACATGACATGCTAGACACAGACACAGCCGTCAGACTAACCTGAGGCATAGGACAGCATCCCCACTGGTGGTTTGCCATCATACAGCAGGTGTCCCCGTTCACACACTCATGTGTGGCATCACACTGGATGTCACCAACGTCCTTCCTAATGGCTGATGTCTTCTCCATCCACGCTGTAGCCACGCCCCCCTTATCACATGTTTTAGTGACCAAGTCACAGGTATTACCCTCAGGACAACAATGGGAGTGGTCAGAACAGCATACGGCCTACCAGATAATATACATAAACATGACTTTATATGTACATATTTCATATTTAAATATTCCATAGCATCATGTTCATGCATATTTGCAGCCTTTTCTGTGAAATATATTTATTCATGTATTAATGCTACAAAGTGATGTGTGCATATATCTTTGGCCTCCTGTGAGATTTGATCATGCAGATACATTGCCTCCATTGGTATGTTGTCTTGGACATTCATAGCCTCCAGTGAAATAAGGTAATACATGCACATGTTGGGCCTCTTGTGAGACATGTCCAATCAATAAAGTTGAGTCATTCAAATTCGAAGTGAGATATGTCCACACAAGGACAACTGTGACATGTGCTCAGTCACAGATTTACACTGAGATGGGAGACATTGCCAGTGAGACATGTCCAATCCATACAGAACAGAGGGATCTTCTTACCCAATACATAGTGAGATATGTCCACACAAGGACAACTGTGAGATGGTTCCCTCACTAGGCATTCAGTGAGATGTGTCCATCCTTAGACTTACAGTGAGATGTGTCCATACATAGATTTACAGTGAGATATGTACATTTATTGATTTACAGTGAGATGTGTACCTCCCTAGACTTACAGTGAGATGTATCCATAAACAGACTTTGCATGCAATATGTCCATGCTCACTTATAACCTCCAATCTGTCAATGTGAAATATATAACTCAACCCTTAGACTACAGTAAACTTGTAAATTTGGACCGAGTGGCCAAACAACAAGCAAGGTGTGACTGACTTGTAATTCCATGCAGTAATCACCTGAGGGAGGGGGCAACACGCCCACTCTCCATTCACTCGTTTACAACAGGTGTTGTTTCCAGGACAGAAATGGTTGGGGTCACACATCACATCCTTCACTTTCCTTACTGCTGGACGTTTGTTGAGCCAGGGAACAGACACACCCCCTGCTTTATTACATTTGCCATGTGGCATGTCACATGTGGTCCCATTGGGACAGCAGTGGGCGCCATCGGAGCAGCACACAGCCTGGGAAAGGGAAGCATTCAATTAGGACTCTCTTGTCTCGGGTTGATTTGATACCAGAGGACTGGCTTGGAGTGAATAATGCTCAATATTGCATCAGTAATTTGGCTGCAAATAGCAGCATGTGCTGTCTCTAGGAATTGTGCACATTCTTCATAAAATCAAACATCTCAATTCAAATAAGGCAATATTAAGCTGCTTCAAAGTAATCAAGTAAAGGCAGTCAGCTCAAGACAGATCCACCAAACATCAGAGTAACATCAGAGTGAGACAACAGTCTCAAAGTGGTCGGCCATCGTATAGCAGGTGCTTCTGTCAGGGTAGAAGTTCACACTGGCAGTGATACTGTCAACACATGACATGCTAGACACAGACACAGCCGTCAGACTAACCTGAGGCATAGGACAGCATCCCCACTGGTGGTTGGCCATCATACAGCAGGTGTCCCCGTTCACACACTCATGTGTGGCATCACACTGGATGTCACCAATGTCCTTCCTAATGGCTGATGTCTTCTCCATCCATGCTGTAACCACGTCCCCCTTACGACATGTTTTAGTGACCAAGTCACAGGTATTACCCTCAGGACAACAGTGGGTGTGGTCAGAACAGCATACGGCCTACCAGATAATATACATGAACATCACTTTTTACGTACATATGTCATATTTAAATATTCCATAGCATCATGTTCATGCATATTTGCAGCCTTTTCTGTGACATACATCTATTCATGTATTAACGCTACAGAGTGATGTGTGCAGAAATCTTTGGCCTACTCACATATTTTGATCATGCAGATACATTGCCTCCATTGGTATGTGGTCTTGGACATTCCTGGCCTCCATTGAAATAAGGTAATGCATGCATATGTTAGGCCTCTAGTGAGACATGTCCAATCCATGGTGAACAGTGGTATCTTCTTCCAAAATCAGAGTGAGATATGTCCACACAAGGACAACCGTGAGAAGCATTCATCACAAGACATTCAGTGAGATTTGTTTGTCCATAGATTTACAGTGAGATGTGTCCATCCATAGAATTACAGTGATATGTGTCCATCCATAGATTTACAGTGAGATGTGTCCATCCATAGATTTACAGAGAGATGTGTCCATCCATAGATTTACAGAGAGATGTGTCCATCCATAGATTTTCAGTGATATGTGTCCATCCATAGATTTACAGAGAGATGAGTCCATCCATAGATTTACAGTGAGATGTGTCCATCCATAGATTTACAGTGAGATGTGTCCATCCATAGATTTACAGTGAGATGGGTCCATACACAGACTTTGCATGCAATATGTCCGTGCTCTCTTATAACCTCCACTCTGTCAATATGAAATATATAACTAAATCCTATGACTACAGTAAAAATGTAAATTAGGACCGAGTGGCCAAACAACAAGCAAGGTGTGACTGGCTTGTAATTCCATGCAGTAATCACCTGAGGGAAGGGGCAACAGCCCCACTCTCCATTCACTCGTTTACAACAGGTGTTGTTTCCAGGACAGAAATGGTTGGGGTCACACATCACATCCTTCACTTTCCTTACAGCTGGACGTTTGTTGAGCCAGGGAACAGACACACCCCCTGCTTTATTACATTTGCCATGTGGCATGTCACATGTGGTCCCATTGGGACAGCAGTGGGCGCCATCGGAGCAGCACACAGCCTGGGAAAGGGAAGCATTTAATTACGACTCTCTTTTCTCTGGTGGATTTGATACCAGAGGACTGGCATCAAGTGAATAATGCTCAATATTGCATCAGTAATCTGGCAGCAAATAGCAGCATGTGCTGTCTCCTAGAAACTGTGCACATTCTTCATAAAATTAAACATCTCAATTCAAATTAGGCAATATTAAGCTGCTTCAAAGTAATCAAGTAAAGGCAGTCAGCTCAAGACAGATCCACCAAACATCAGAGTAACATCAGAGTGAGACAACAGTCTCAAAGTGGTCGGCCATTGTATAGCATGTGCTTCTGTTAGGGTAGAAGTTCATACTGGCAGTGGTGCTGCCAACACACGACATGCTAGACACAGACACAGCCGTGAGACCAACCTGAGGCATAGGACAGCATCCCCACTGGTGGTTGGCCATCATACAGCAGGTGTCCCCGTTCACACACTCATGTGTGGCATCACACTGGATGTCACCAACGTCCTTCCTAATGGCTGATGTCTTCTCCATCCACGCTGTAACCATGCCCCCCTTATCACATGTTTTAGTGACCAAGTCACAGGTATTACCCTCAGGACAACAGTGGACGTGGTCAGAACAGCATACGGCCTACCAGATAATATACATAAACATGACCTTATATGTACATATTTCATATTTAAATATTCCATAGCATCATGTTCATGCATATTTGCAGCCTTTTCTGTGACGTATATCTATTCATGTATTAATGCTACAAAGTGATGTGTGCATATATCTTTGGCCTCCTGTGAGATTTGATCATGCAGAGACATTGCCTCCATCGGTATGTGGTCTTGGACATTCATGGCTTCCATTGAAATAAGGTAATGCATGCATATGTTAGGCCTCTAGTGAGACATGTCGTATCCATACAGAACAGTGGGATCCTCTTCCAAAATCAGAGTGATATAAGTCCATACAAGGACAACTGTGAGAAGCGTTCATCACTCGACATTCATGGAGATTTGTTTGTCCATCCATAGACTTACAGTGAGATGTGTCCATCCATAGATTTACAGTGAGAGGTGTACATACATGGACCTTGCATGCAATATGTCCATGCTCACTTATTACCTCCACTCTGTTAATATGAAATATATAACTCAAACCTAAGACTACAGTTAACTTGTAAATTAGGACCGAGCAGTCAAACAACATGCAAGGTGTGACTGACTTGTAATTCCATGCAGTAATCACCTGAGGGAGGGGGCAACACGCCCACTCTCCATTCACTCGTTTACAACAGGTGTTGTTTCCAGGACAGAAGTGGCTGGGGTCACACATCACATCCTTCACTTTCCTTACAGCTGGACGTTTGTTGAGCCAGGGAACAGACACACCCCCTGCTTTATTACATTTGCCATGTGGCATGTCACATGTGGTCCCATTTGGACAGCAGTGGGCGCCATCGGAGCAGCACACAGCCTGGGAAAGGGAAGCATTCAATTAGGACTCTCTTGTCTTAGGTTGATTTGATACCAGAGGACTGGCATCGAGTGAATAATGCTCAATATTGCATCAGTAATTTGGCAGCAAATAGCAGCATGTGCTTTCTCCTAGGAACTGTGCACATTCTTCATAAAATTAAACATCTCAATTCAAATTAGGCAATATTAAGCTGATTGAAAGTAATCAAGTAAAGGCAGTCAACTCAAGACAGATCCACCAAACATCAGAGTAACATCAGAGTGAGACAACAGTCTCAAAGTGGTCTGCCATCATATAGCAGGTGCTTCTGTCAGGGTAGAAGTTCACACTGGCAGTGGTACTGCCAACACAAGACATGCTAGACACAGACACAGCCGTCAGACTAACCTGAGGCATAGGACAGCATCCCCACTGGTGGTTGGCCATCATACAGCAGGTGTCCCCGTTCACACACTCATGTGTGGCATCACACTGGATGTCACCAACGTCCTTCCTAATGGCTGATGTCTTCTCCATCCACGCTGTAACCATGCCCCCCTTACGACATGTTTTAGAGACCAAGTCACAGGTATTACCCTCAGGACAACAGTGGGTGTGGTCAGAACAGCATACGGCCTACCAGATAATATACATAAACATGATTTTATATGTACATATTTCATACTTAAATATCCATAGCATCATGTTCATGCATATTCGCAGCCTTTTCTGTGATGTATATCTATTCATGTATTAATGCTACAGAGTGATGTGTGCATATATCTTTAGGCTCCTTTGAGATTTGATCATGCAGATACATTGCCTCCATCAGTATGTTGTCTTTGAACATTCATGGCCTCCGGTGAAATAAGGTAATACATGCATATGTTAGGCCTCTAGTGAGACATGTCCAATCTATACAGAACAGTGGGGTCTTCTTCCAGAATCAGAGTGAGATATGTCCACACAAGGACAACCGTGAGAAGCGTTCATCACAAGACATTCAGAGGGATTTGTTTGTCCATAGACTTACAGTGACATGTGTCCATCCATAGATTTACAGTGAGATGTGTCCATCCATAGACTTTGCATGCAATATGTCCATGCTCACTTATAACCTCCAATCTGTCAATATGAAATATATCTCAACCCTTAGGCTACAGTAAACTTGTAAATTAGGACCGAGTGGTCAAACAACATGCAAGGTGTGACTGGCTTGTAATTCCATGCAGTAATCACCTGAGGGAAGGGGCAACAGCCCCACTCTCCATTCACTCGTTTACAACAGGTGTTGTTTCCAGGACAGAAATGATTGGGGTCACACATCACATCCTTCACTTTCCTTACAGCTGGACGTTTGTTGAGCCAGGGAACAGACACACCCCCTGGTTTATTACATTTGCCATGTGGCATGTCACATGTGGTCCCATTGGGACAGCAGTGGGCGCCATCGGAGCAGCACACAGCCTGGGAAAGGGAAGCATTTACTTAGGACTCTCTTTTCTCTGGTGGATTTGATACCAGAGGACTGGCTTGAAGTGAATAATGCTGCATTTTGCATAACAGTAGCATGTGCTGTCTCCTAGAAATTGTGCACATTCTTCATAAAAAATCATCTCAATTCAAATTAGGCAATATTAAGCTGATTGAAAGTAATCAAGTAAAGGCAGTCAGCTCCAGACAGATCCACCAAACATCAGAGTAACATCAGAGTGAGACAATAGTCTCAAAGTGGTCGGCCATCGTACAACAGGTGCTTCTGTCAGGGTAGAAGTTCACACTGGCAGTGGTACTGCCAACACATGACATGCTAGACACAGACACAGCCGTCAGACTAACCTGAGGCATAGGACAGCATCCCCACTGCTGGTTGGCCATCATACAGCAGGTGTCCCCGTTCACACACTCATGTGTGGCATCACACTGGATGTCACCAACGTCCTTCCTAATGGCTGATATCTTCTCCATCCATGCTGTAACCACGCCCCCCTTACGACATGTTTTAGTGACCAAGTCACAGGTATTACCCTCAGGACAACAGTGGGCGTGGTCAGAACAGCATATGGCCTACCAAATAATATACATAAACATCACTTTTTACGTACATATGTCATATTTAAATATTCCATAGGACCATGTCCATGCATATTTGCAGCCTTTTCTGTGACATACATCTATTCATATATTAACATTACAGAGTGATGTGTGCAGAAATCTTTGGCCTACTCACATATTTTGATCATGCAGATACATTGCCTCCATTGGTATGTGGTCTTGGACATTCCTGGCCTCCATTGAAATAAGGTAATACATGCATATGTTAGGCCTCTAGTGAGACATGTCCAATCCATGCTGAACAGTGGTATATTCTTCCAAAATTCGAGTGAGATATGTCCACACAAGGACAACCGTGAGAAGCGTTCATCACAAGACATTCAGTGAGATTTGTTTGTCCATAGATTTACAGTGAGATGTGTCCATCCATAGAATTACAGTGATATGTGTCCATCCATAGATTTACAGTGAGATGTGTCCATCCATAGATTTACAGAGAGATGTGTCAATCCATAGATTTACAGTGATATGTGTCCATCCATAGATTTACAGTGATATGTGTCCATCCATAGATTTACAGTGAGATGTGTCCATCCATAGATTTACAGTGAGATGAGTCCATCCATAGATTTACAGTGAGATGTGTCCATCCATAGATTTACAGTGAGATGTGTCTATCCATAGACTTTGCATGCAATATGTCCATGCTCACTTATAACCTCCAATCTGTCAATATGAAATATATAACTCAACCCTAAGACTACAGTAAACTTGTAAATTAGGACCGAGTGGCCAAACAACATGCAAGGTGTGACTGGCTTGTAATTCCATGCAGTAATCACCTGAGGGAAGGGGCAACAGCCCCACTCTCCATTCACTCGTTTACAACAGGTGTTGTTTCCAGGACAGAAATGGCTGGGGTCACACATCACATCCTTCACTTTCCTTACAGCTGGACGTTTGTTGAGCCAGGGAACAGACACACCCCCTGCTTTATTACATTTGCCATGTGGCATGTCACATGTGGTCCCATTGGGACAGCAGTGGGCGCCATCGGAGCAGCACACAGCCTGGGAAAGGGAAGCATTTACTTAGGACTCTCTTTTCTCTGGTGGATTTGATACGAGAGGACTGGCTTGAAGTGAATAATGCTGCATTTTGCATAACAGAAGCATGTGGTGTCTCCTAGAAATTGTGCACATTCTTCATAAAAAATAATCTCAATTCAAATTAGGCAATATTAAGCTGCTTGAAAGTAATCAAGTAAAGGCAGTCAGCTCAAGACAGATCCACCAAACATCAGAGTAACATCAGAGTGAGACAATAGTCTCAAAGTGGTCGGCAATCGTACAACAGGTGCTTCTGTCAGGGTAGAAGTTCATACTGGCAGTGGTACTGCCAACACATGACATGCTAGACACAGACACAGCCGTCAGACTAACCTGAGGCATAGGACAGCATCCCCACTGGTGGTTGGCCATCATACAGCAGGTGTCCCCGTTCACACACTCATGTGTGGCATCACACTGGATGTCACCAACGTCCTTCCTAATGGCTGATGTCTTCTCCATCCACGCTGTAACCATGCCCCCCTTACGACATGTTTTAGTGACCAAGTCACAGGTATTACCCTCAGGACAACAGTGGGTGTGGTCAGAACAGCATACGGCCTACCAGATAATATACATAAACATGATTTTATATGTACATATTTCATATTTAAATATTCCATAGCATCATGTTCATGCATATTCGCAGCCTTTTCTGTGACGTATATCTATTCATGTATTAATGCTACAGAGTGATGTGTGCATATATCTTTGGGCTCCTGTGAAATTTGATCATGCAGATACATTGCCTCCATCGGTATGTGGTCTTGGACATTCATGGCCTCCAGTGATTAGGTAATACATGCATATGTTAGGCCTCTAGTGAGACATGTCCAATCCATACAGTTGAGTCTTTTTCCAATTTCGAAGTGAGATATGTCCACACAAGGACAACCGTGAGAAGCGTTCATCACAAGACATTCAGAGAGATTTGGTTGTCCATAGACTTACAGTGACATGTGTCCATCCATAGATTTACAGTGAAACAGTAGATTTACAGTGAGATGTTTCCATCCATAGACTTTGCATGCAATATGTCCATGCTCACTTATAACCTCCAATCTGTCAATGTGAAATATATAACTCAACCCTAAGACTACAGTAAACTTGTAAATTTGGACCGAGTGGCCAAACAACATGCAAGGTGTGACTGGCTTGTAATTCCATGCAGTAATCACCTGAGGGAGGGGGCAACACGCCCACTCTCCATTCACTCGTTTACAACAGGTGTTGTTTCCAGGACAGAAATGGTTGGGGTCACACATCACATCCTTCACTTTCCTTACAGCTGGACGTTTGTTGAGCCAGGGAACAGACACACCCCCTGCTTTATTACATTTGCCATGTGGCATGTCACATGTGGTCCCATTGGGACAGCAGTGGGCGCCATCGGAGCAGCACACAGCCTGGGAAAGGGAAGCATTCAATTAGGACTCTCTTGTCTTGGGTTGATCTGATACCAGAGGACTGGCATCGAGTGAATTATGCTCAATATAGCATCAGTAATTTGGCAGCAAACAGAAGCATGTGCTGTCTCCTAGGAATTGTGCACATTCTTCATAAAATCAAACATCTCAATTCAAATTAGGCAATATTAAGCTGCTTGAAAGTAATCAAGTAAAGGCAGTCAGCTCAAGACAGATCCACCAAACATCAGAGTAACATCAGAGTGAGACAATAGTCTCAAAGTGGTCGGCCATCGTATAGCAGGTGGTTCTGTTAGGGTAGAAGTTCATACTGGCAGTGGTGCTGCCAACACACGACATGCTAGACACAGACACAGCCATCAGACTAACCTGAGGCATAGGACAGCATCCCCACTGGTGGTTGGCCATCATACAGCAGGTGTCCCCGTTCACACACTCATGTGTGGCATCACACTGGATGTCACCAACGTCCTTCCTAATGGCTGATGTCTTCTCCATCCATGCTGTAAGCACGTCCCCCATACGACATGTTTTAGTGACCAAGTCACAGGTATTACCCTCAGGACAACAGTGGGTGTGGTCAGAACAGCATACGGCCTACCAGATAATGTACATAAAGATAACTACATCTTTGGTACAATGAGACATGTCAAAGCATAACCCTCAATGACATACATCCATTAACCCTGTACCCTACATTGTGATATGCTCATTCAGTTCCACAGCAAGACAGTAACTGGAACAAAAATTTGAAGACTGTAAATGGAAGTCTCCAAGCAAACTGTAATCCATCTTCCCGAGGAAAGAGAGTTAACTGACTTTAAAAGTCCAGTTTCCACCCTTGCCGAACTAGGCTGGAATTACTGGTCTCCACCAGTGGCTATTACCTGCTATGTCCCTTCTAAGCCTCTCATATGGACCAATCAGATTTCATCTCTTGTATCACTTGCGTTTGCTTCACACAAAATGGTGCCGCCTGGTCAGGACGATCTGATCGCTAATCAAGATCTATATTGTGATAAAACGGGTCTTACATCGCGAAATGCATCAAATCACGTGAGCACCTTGATTAAAAACATGAAAAGATTTGGATAATATCTGCTGACAATGAGTTGGCGGTGCACATGCTTTGCAAATCTTGCAATCGACCGAAATATGCACGACATTTAACGAACTGGATTTCGATTTCGGTGCGCGATTTTGATTGGGCTATGCATAGACTCGTTAGTCCAGCCAAAATGTAACTCAATAATACCAGCCTAGTTCGGCAGGGGTTTGAAACTGGACTTTTATAGTCAGTTAACTCACTTGCCTCAGGAAGATGACTGTAATCTGTAGCATGCTGTAGCCTTGTTTGAGATATGCAAGGACATGTACAGTGAGATAAGTTCAGTTGTAACCACAGTGAGACATGTCCATAAATCTTGGTAGGAATTTGAATTCATAAGGAACAAATGCAGTGAATCCAAATACTGTAAATCTTGATATTAACGCGAGTGTGAATTAAATGCGAAAAATGTGAGTGGTCGCATTATTAAACATCACATTTATATCAACAATAAGACATTTTGGATGGCAGAAATACCAATTTAGACATATGCTGAAAACAAACAAATTTGTATTCCACATCACTGTTTATTGAGCAGCACTTGTTACAAGTATATAAACAATGTCATTCAAACACTAATTACATCCTGGGAATTGTCACTGCTGGGGTCAAGACAAGAGTTCTACTCACTTATGTCATCACTAATCACACCTGCAAGTCCAGACAGACGCCACCCACGCAACACGGTGTCTTTGATCTTTGCGACTGCATCAAAGGCTGACACGAGCCAGCACGCATCTATTGTTTAAGCGGAATTACTCGACTCAGCGCTAATAAGCGGTGCTGATTTGTGTGTGATTGGATTAATGTAAGGTTGGATTAAGGTGAGGATTCTCCTGTAAACCTGACAGAGGACATTTGCTTTAAATATAAATCCACTGATGCTTGAGAGGAGGGGGGTGTCACATTCATATTGAGTCACATTTTTGGCAAGCGGGCAGCGGTCGCATTCTTTTGGAGACACATTAATTTCATGATTTACAATTACAGTATACAAGCAAACTGCAGCCAAGTTCAATCTGTAGCCTTATGTTGGATATGCCCAAGACAATCTGTACAGCCTAATAGATGATCAAAGCATAGATACTGCCCTCCAGTGAGACATGATCATTCATTACTACAGTGAGACCATAAATACATGTATTGTTAGCCCTGAGTGACATTTAAATTCAAATCTGTCGCTTGCAGTGCACATCTGGCACAATTCAATCTGCAGCTTGTGAGAGATATGTCCATGCAAATCTATAACCTATAGTGAAATAGTTACTAGCATATTGGAAGTCTACGGTATTATGTGTAGCAGTGAGTGAGTGAGTTGGGTTTAATGCCGCTTTTAACATTATTACAGTTATATCGCGGCGTGTCAGCTTAATGTGGGAGGAAAGCCTGAAGTGATGCAGGTCTCAGACGTTTACCACTTCGGTGAAACCACGAGCACGGGTATGGCGCTGACAAATCTAGAAACATAAATGGGGCGAACCAGGATTCGAACCTATAATCATAGGTTTCTGGCGTGCCCAAGGGACGCAACTCTGCACAGCGAATCGCAGAGCCTTAGACAGCTGGGCCACCCGTGCCCTCCATAAGATGTAGCAGGATCACAAGGGTGACATGGGGTTTTATACCATGAGCCATGTACTCCCTCGTGATCCTGCTACAACTAATTAATCTTGCCCACATGTTTTAATCTGACATTGTAAAAGAATAAACACAAATTCAAAATTGACACAAAACACCTGTTCTTTTGAGCTGAGGTTAACTTGTGCTATGTCATGTGACTTCCATTGACTCTGAAAAAGAGTGTAGCTTTTTGCTTTGAAGGGGGTATAAGGGATTTATTCTGCCTCTCAGAAATCCAAGTGGAGCATTTATTGCTCATGGCGGGATATAAGAGATTTATTCTCCCGCTGAGAAATTACCCTCCAAGGTGTGTCATAGTATTTTATCAAAATAATGTGGACCAATCAGATCATCTCATTTTGACATAGAGGTATGATAATGAGATGTGTACCCATGTTATTGAGCCTCAGTAACAGTAATTGACCTGTGCGAGAAACGTCCACTCTTATGTGTAATCTACAGTGAGATATGTCCATGCATGTCTGTAAAATAGTTAAGATAATCAAACTACAACTTCTTGCTTTAAAAGCTGAACTTCCTGCTTTTCCTTGACATGATTCAACTATCGAAGATATAATTTCTTGTTTGCCCACCACAGAGCTTCAGAGTGTTTAAAAGGTACAAGTAGAATGTATTATTTGTTAACAACAGGCCTTCATGACAACACTGAAAATACTATATCTATATTTTTGGCATGTAACATCAACAGCAGGACAAGTGACTTCAAACATAGGGAGGACTGTTTGACTATAGGAAACAAAGGATGCAAAAATACCATGCTGGACTCTATAACAAGGGTATTTTGATATATACATTTTGATATATACATTTTGATATATATATATTCAACGTAATAAGCGCCCCGTTCTAATAAGCGCCCACGGCGATATTTGCTATTGGCTAGTGAACAATCCCAATTAGCACCCCATTGATCAATGTACACAGGACTTATTTATTTGTGTATAATACGCAGTCGTGTGTTATGTGCACCCTTAATTATGGGCAATTAAATTCTGGAAAATAATCTGTCATGTATGTTACGCACATACTTTTCTTTTGTATCATTTCAGGGTGTCAGCCTAAACCACGAAACTTACAATCTTTCAACTCAGGTATATTTCACGCCAAAATTATATTCTAATATGAGTCCCATATTGCTAATTTTTATAGCGCCCCGGGCGCTTATTACGCCGAAAATGGTATGTGGCATACAAACATATTATGGAATTCTGTAACTCAGAATTTCAGTTTGGATTTTGTTATTGGACAAATGATATATTTTTAATATCTTTCTGCCGCCAAAAAGTATTGAAAAAAAACCATCATTACAATAACATTTTGAAATTATGAATTTCATGAATTTCATAAAATGTTTTTATTCCAAATATATATATCAAAATACCCTTGTCATATAACTCACATAAGCACACGATAGAGCATCGCGTCAAGTAATCCATTGCCAGAACCTTGCAAAACCATAAGCCAGGTCGCCCATCTAAATAATATTCAGCTATGTTTTACCAATCTCAAAACTGAACTGTGTGACTCTGGAAACAAGTGTGCAGTACAGGAGACATATCAGCCATATAACTGCAGCATGGGAACCTACCTCAGCGAAAGGACAGCACGCGTATTCCTGGTTTGTTCCCTGACAGCAGGTTTTCCCTTTGGGACACATGACCTCCTTGTCTGGACACCACTCTGTCCCGAAGACCTCGAGGTCCCCCTTCACCGTGTCCGTCCTGATGGGTTGAGGGGTGTGCTCCTCCACCTGCTGATGGACACACCCCCTCCCGCTGGGGTGACAGCTGGCCCCTTTCTGACAGCAGTGGACACCGTCCGAACAACACACCGCCTGCCGAAAAACATTTATTTCAGTAATTTTAACCAAGAAATGAACTAAGGCCGTTAGGAGTCAAATGTGTCCGACTCCAACTTGAATTTTGTATGAGCCCTGCCACTGACTGATATTGTAGCAGTGTGGGGAATCAGGGACTTATCCAAGGTTCTATACTAGGTGCCACTGGTTGGAAAAGTGGGGAATAATTTACAATAACAAGTAGTGATTATTAAAAATTAGTTTGTTGTTTAACACCGCACTCAGCAATATTCAAACTATATGACTGCGGTCTGTAAAACATCAAGCCTGGACAAGACAATCCAGTGATTGACATCATGAGCATCGATCTAAACTTGGATACGATGACATGCATCAACCAAGTCAGCGAGCCTGACCACCCGATCCCGTTAGTCGCCTCTTACCACAAGCATGGGTTGCTGAAGGCCTATTCTACCCCGGGTCTTCACAGGTCGAGTTTTTAAAAAATATAGTAGGTACCGTACTTATTTTCATAAATGCAGAGGTATTTTATCATTTTCATTTGAGACTTTGAGAAATTTGGAATAAGCATTAAAATCTTTTATTATTTATTGTCCAGTTATTTGTGACATACTGGTTATCCTTCTAAGCCATAAAAGCAGTTATTGGGTACATAAATCAAAATGATTTTGGAATTTTTTAATGATATTTGCTGCAGACTTAGGGCCGAAAAAGTCTTGGTAAATGCCTGAGAGTAGATGAGGTGAGGAGAGGTGAAATGGGGTTTAATGTCGCGTCCAAGATTATTGCACTTATATAGCGACGTGCATGTACGTGAGTGTGTGTGGCTGCTTGTAATAGTCCGGACTGATGCCGATCTTACAGTGCTGGCCCACTGAGATACCATGCCGCAGTTTAACATGAATACCCACTCAGACACGGTATACTGACTCCAAGCCGACCAGTCCTTGTTTTGTCCCCTTAATGTTAATGCTGAGCCCCAGGCAGGGTAACAACAAGAACTATCTATTATAGTCTTTTGGTGTGATACAGGCAGGGATCGTACCCCAACCTTCCATTCTTCAGGCAGATACTCTACTGAGAGTAGATGACTTGTGTTACCATTGGTGTTGGGGTTGGTTTGTCATGTTTGTAGACGGCCACAAGGTTATAGCACATGTTGCATGAGAAGTATTGCTGTGATTTGTGATGTGGTCTAAGTATTTAGGGTTTTACCTTGACCTACAAAAGTGATGTGAATAAATATATTTAAGGGTCCTTGCAGGCAATATGGGGGTCCTGTAAAGTAATGTAATTGTGTAGTGTCTGTATATTAAGATGGGGGTACGGGTGGCCCAGTCATCTAAGGCGCCGCGATTTGCTGTGCAGAGTTGCGTCCCTTGGGCATGCCAGAAACCTATGATTGTGGTTTCGAATCCCGGTTCACCCTGATTATGTTTCTAGGTTTGTTAGCACCATACCCATCCTCGTGGGTTTCACCGAAGAGGTAAATGTCTGAGACCTGCATCACTTCGGGCTTTCCTCCCACATTAAGCAGACACACCACGATATAACTGTAATACTGTTAAAAGCAGTGTTAAACCCAACTCACTCACTCACTCACTACATTTAGATCATTTTTTTAAAGCCTGGAATGAATCAATGATCAGGTGGACAGTGGTCATGATTGATTGATGAAATAACAAACACCAAAAATTGTTCTTTATATGCTGCAGGTACAATGAATACTAAATATTGTGTGTCCTTCTGGAAGCAGTATTTTTTTCTCTGCATTCATTCTCTACATTTGTGCGTAATGACTAGATATGTTGGTGATCAATAGTAAATTCACTGAAAGCAGCCGTATGTATTACTGATGTTACACTATGCATGGGCGGCCATTCAGTGAAAAATAGACCAGTTAAAATAAACGTCAAAAGAATGCAAAAATAGTCAAATGTTACAAAGTATTAAATGTTACTAATAAAAGTCAAAACACAAAACACATTAGACGTCATAATATGAAAGAAAGAACATTATCTTACTTCCTCGTCAGAATGATGAGATCAACATTCTCAAGTTAATCTCAGCTCAATCAAACAGCTGTTTTCTATCAGTTTTCAAATTGTTTTAATTCCTTTGGCACATTGAAACATGTCAGTAGGCTTAAGTTGTAGAAGCAGGAACACGAGGGGTTCATGTGGTTTTATGCATCCCTTGTAGGGTGTCATACCACTTGCCTCCGGCTCCTACAAAACCACTTATCATACATCCATGTCAGAGTGATGAGATCTGATTGGTCAACATGATCTTGATCAAATACTGTGTAACCCGCCTTGGGAATAACTTTCTCAGATGGGGAATAAATCCCTTATACCCCGCCACGAGCAATACAGGCTGCACGTAGATTTATAAGAAACAGAATAAATCCCTTATACCCTTCTTCAAAGCAAAAAGCCGAACACTTTCTCTGAGCCAATGTATGTCACATAGGGCAACTAACCTCAGCTCAATCAAGCAGCTGTTTTCTATCAATGTGGAATTTATTTGAATTTTTATTTTACAATGTCATATTAAACATGTTGGTAAGATAAATTCATTGTAGCAGGATCACTCGGGGTACATGGGGTTTTATGCTTCCGGCTCCTGGTATAAAACCTAACGCGGGACTCATAAAACCCCATGTACTTGTCATGACACGGCTATTACTTATAATATATACAAGAGAATGTCAGTGTGCACAAAAGGACACCAAATGCTAAAGGACTATGTTGACAATAAAGTTTTTTGTTTGTTTGTTTGTTTGTTGTTTAACTCCGCACTCAGCAATATTCCAGTAATATGACGGCGGTCTGTAAATAATCGAGTCTGGACCAGACAATCCAGTGATTGATATCATGAGCATCGATCCACGCAATTGGGATCGATGACATGCATCAACCAAGTCAGCGAGCCTGACCACCCGATCCCGTTACTCGACTTTTACGACAAGCATAGTCACCTTTTACGGCAAGCATGGGTTGCTGAAGACCTATTCTACCCCGGACCTTCACGGGTCTGACAACAAAGAACACCAGATTTTAATGGCTCATTCCACTGTGTGTATGATAAATGCATGCAATAGGCAACACGACAGTGAGGTGCACAATGTATGACGTCATTCCTCGTGTGCGGACCAAATGTCGGCCTCGGAAGTGAAGATAAATCCCTGAACCAGCTTACATTTTTATAGGGGCAGCATCCAAACTTGTTCTGTGTGGTCTGGCAGCACGTGTTTCCTACTGGACACTGGGTTTGGTCTGGACAAGTGAAGTTTTTCAGTACGGGTGCACTGTGTGGTTCAAAGTATAGCGTATCCCCAGCCACCCAGGGTACAGCACAACACATCAAGGCCAGCTGTAGTATCATCTGAAAACAAAACGTATCATTGTATCACAAAAGAAAAAGATTCCATCATTCTTGTAGTGTTCCTAATATGACTGGCACTGGCAGTGTTGCACTGAGGCTGTGAGATTGCAGGAATTTACAGTTCTTTCTCAAACGATCCCCAGGAAACAGTTCAAGCTATTACAAGTCAAATTTCAAAACTCCTTGCATGACAGGACCAATAATATGTTAAAGTTCTAAAAGACAAAAGAAGTTGCTGTTGTATAAAAGTCACTCCAGGGATCGAAATAACCGTAGACCGACAGCCCGTGGCTAGTGAGTGGGTGAGTGAGTGAGTATGGTTTTACGCCGCTTTTAGCAATATTCCAGCAATATCACGGCGTGGAACACCAGGAATGGGCTTCACACATTGTACCCATGTCGGGAATCGAACCCGGGTCTTTGGCGTGACGAGCGAACGCTTTAACCACTAGGCTCCCCGACCACCCCCTGTGGCTAGTGAAATTTATGTCGGGCTAATAGAGGCTAGCTGAATTTCTCCCCTTATAACGACACAACAACTGCTCACTTACATCATTTGTTTCATTTTTACATAGGCGCATTATATTTAAGTCTACTGGTGGGAGCAGGGAAGGCCCAGTTGTCTAAGGCACTGCGATTCGCTGTACAGAGTTGCGTCCACTGGACACGCCAGAAACCTATGATTGTGGGTTTGAATCCTGGTTCACCCTGATTATGTTTCTAGGTTTGTCGGCACCATACCCTAGCTCGTGGGTTTCACTGAAGTGGTAAACGTCTGAGACCTGCATCACTTTGGGCTTTCCTCCCACATTAAGCTGCCACGCCGTGATATAACTGGAATACTGTTAAAAGCGACGTTAAACCCAACTCACTCACTCACTAAGTCTACTGGTACGTCTCATCTTAATTTTCGATAATAAAACGTCTTATGTCTACAGTGAAGACAAGTATTCTGACTGGATGACATGAATCCCGGATATCATACAGCTATTCAGCAGTGGTGCTTCATAACTTGACCTGGTTATGGCTGCACCTATGTAGGGTAATATAGATTGGTTTTTCTCCTAAATTCAAGCCACAGGAGGCAAAGAACACCAAAGCTATACAGTGAGTGAGTGAGTGAGTGAGTGAGTGAGTGAGTGAGTGAGTGAGTGAGTATGGTTTTATGCCACTTTTAGCAATATTCCAGCAATATCACAGTGGGGGAAACCATAAATGGGCTTCACACATTGTACCCATCTAACCCGGGTCTTCGGCGTGACGAGCTAACGCTTTAACCACTAGGCTACCAAACCAGCCCCCAAAGCTATACAGAAAAGTTATACAAAAAGTTAAACGAGAAAGAAAGTGGGGTATAGAGTTTTTTTGGGTGGCATTTAGTGAGAAAAATAGGGTATAATAGGAAAATCTGATGGGCAAAATGAAACAGATGATCTGCATAAGATGTGCCGATGTAACAGAGGTTCTAGGCTGTCTGCAAGGAACTCTGGGTTGGAGAGTGATTCGCTTCATACGACCGAGGAACATTCATACTGTAATCTAGGCTTTGATAAACACTGGCTTTTAATCTAATCAATTAGTATTTTGTGACTCATCTGTAATAAAGCACACAACTTTTCTCTTCCATGTGTCTCTAGTAAATACCACAACTGTAGCCAGAGTATTCTGCGCAGTGCTTGCATTGTTGGCTTCACTGTGCGGAGCTCTATTGTATGGTTTAAGAATTGAATCGGGCATGAGCTAAAGGTGTGACTCCACTCTCAGAAATGATTACACACAGAACCGTCGACATACTGTCCCTTTAATCTACCATTAACATAACACCAGGAACTTTGGAGTCATCTACAGTACATTGTCCTTGAACATATTGAAACTATGACTGGCATACTCACTCTTTTCTACTCTAGTTGTAATCCAGTACCAGTCATGATAAGGATAATGGCCATAAAAAGATCATTTTAACACTTATTGTCAAAATGAAATGCAACAAATGTGATGGACAATGTGCTTCTGGAGTTGGGTCCAGACAAAAGGACTTCAACTCTTTATAATCATGATAATTTTTTAATGTGAACTTTACATGTCATAGTACTAAAACAGCTTTCCTTTGCACAAATGTTGGTCTCATGACCTTGAAACTGACCTTCAGAAGTGCATGAACAAAAACATTTTGACGTTCATCGATTTTTCACGAGTCTCTATTCTTGAACGACATCACCACTGATGGACTACTTCCACATTCCTTGCGAAAACCGGGGAATTTGCTTGCACAAATAAATGGAGAAGCGTTGTTTCTAATCATTTAGACTGTTTTATCTTGAGTTCTGCGTTTGCGTATACATTGAGAAACGTCAGAGAGTTTGACTGCATGATAGTACATGAATATCCTCAATAAGATCCAAACTAGTGAACAAAATGAAGAAATGCACATCTAAACTGTCAATGTATCGAATTAATCCGTATCTAGAGTGACAACTGGCCCTTGTCACAATCAGGGGTCATATTTTTTAGACAAGCTTGTTATTAGGACCTATTTGCATACTTACAGGACGAAAAGAAGGTCATATGTATACTTTTGCATTTTGCAGTTGTACTGTCTTGACATGACATTAAGTACTTTCATCTTTCCATTTCGTTTTAGATTTTTTAGCCACGGCAATGGCCGCATAACGTGAATTTTCAATGTTATATTTTGCAGTCTAAATTTTCACTAACTTTGATTGCCAGGATTCAAACATGCTACTACATTAGCAGAAAAGAGTAGCATTCTCTCCTCAACTAAAGGCATATCTCGATGTTTTATCTGAAAATTTGGCAAGTTGACACTTACTCACAAAAAAATATGCTTGTTATCATGGTTATATCTTCTTGAACTTTACGTACGGTTTTGTACTACTCATGTGTCAACAAATTGTGCTTAAGTATTGCTGTTGGTGGGGGGGGGGGGCGGGGCGGGGGGGGTTTAAACATTCGGAATACCAACTTTGTAAAAAGTGGCATGCTTAAACATGAAGACAAGCATACAAAATAGAACTGTCTATATTACTGTATATTGAAGGTATAAAAGAGTGTTATGAAAATTATAAGAATTGACTTTCACTTTCACCTCTATGACAGTTCATACCCCAAAACTCACACAAAGTGAACGTCAGTTTTTAAAGATGCAAAGACCAAAATATCTGAAACAAGAACTGCATGCCCCTTGGCCCGAGCCTAGCGCCTCCCAAGTGCTTTATTTCCCGATACACGTATCTGCCCACAGCCATTTTCCAAGAACAGCTAAAGTTGTATTAATCACCATGATCATGTTGGGTTGAGTCTCCAGACTCGCTCAACTTCCTGTGGCGTGTGTGGGATCGGCAGTCACTAAGGTCACATGGATTTATATTGGTACTACATATATAGTAACATGATATTGCTTGGTGACATGACAATTCACAGAAAGGTATACATCGAGAATTCCAGGAATTATCAACTTAATCCAGTCAGCATCACATGTTCAGTGTAAAAAAAACCCCAATAAAATCATCTACGTTAGGTATTCCAATGAGGAAATTAAAGTACAGATATTCTGAATAACAGAAACAATAAAAAACATCATACTGAGTAACCTGAAATTTTAAGTTATGTAACCTTATGTGAATTAATCTGTTGCTAATCTCCTAATACACGAATCCTTTTAAAACGAAACTAGACGTGAAACAAGGAAGTGTTTCTGCGTAAACAAATACACCTGGTGTTCTTGGGGGATACCCGGAGAAACATTACCCTGAATGTCATGTGATAATGAAAATACGTGAAATTGAGAAAATATATATAATATTATCATAAGTACTTTTTCCAAATGCACAATGGAAACAAATCTATGAAAATGTCTTAAGAAACTCAAGCCCACTAAGATTAGTTGGCCAAAACGTTTTGCCCAAATTCGAAATGTCTGAGTGCTGAAACGCGGTTGTCTGGTTTTATAACCAGCTTGACGCTAGACAAGATTATTATTTACCCTATCAGAGGACTCGCAGGTTTACATGCACCCCTGAAATAAGCGTTATCTATTGTTACCGCACGGGGTGATGCTTCAGAGCGTCCTTACCTTGCTGCTGTTCAGCTTGTATCACCAGCATTCATGTGACACTAATCACATGACTTGCTAAAAATAGATCGTCATGTGACTTCTCCATTTCGCTTGCAGCATACATATTTAGTTCAAGCTTTGTTTTACAGAAATCAACCAAATCATTTTATAACATTAAGTATGATCTTTGATATTCTTTTTTTTAAAAAGATGTGTTTTAATAGTTTAATTGTGTCTATATAACTTTATTTTGGTTATATAGGGCTTGACCTATGACCTTCTAAAGATGGCTGACTTATGTTGTTGACGGTTGACTTGAGAAGTATAATGTCATGTTCCTGTCGTTATCACTGGCTGTTGTTATTCCCGCTAGCCTAATGTTTTGGTTAATCAGTCTGTTTTATCAGACAATCAACAGAGGTTGGTTGATGTTGTTATTAATCGAGTTCAATCGGAGTTCATGCCATGTCACCCCGTAGGCCTAGGCATAGTTCATGCAGAACTAACGCTCGTTTTAATTTATAGTTGTCATGTACACAGACGTACTGAACCATTCGAAAATGTGCTCATCCATTGCAAACTACACAATATAACAGAAAGGACAGAAGACGCATTCAAACAATACCTAAAGTTGGCTGAAGGAGTCGTTGTCGGCACGGGTACGCCTGAGTTTCGGTTCGCCAGATTACGAGTGCATACAGGATGTAATGATGTGCATCGCAGCATATCAAAGTATGTCATGTAATCACTGTGTATGATGTTTTTTGTATATTGTACACTGGAATGCATCTCATACAACAGGATGACAGTTTCGTTCTAGGAACTGAACAAAATCTGAAATGTTCCGTGTAGTATTTGTAAAGTAGACACCATTCATAACGCACCAACACCACTGCCAGTCACTGATGTTCGCAGTTTTCTGTGACCTGTGATGATCCAGGTTAGAATAGGTCTTCGGCAACCCATGTTTGTCATAAGAGGCGACTAACGGGATCGGGTGGTCAGGCTCGCTGACTTGGTTGATGCAATTTGCAAAAATCGATGCTTGTGATGTCAATCACTCGATTGTCTGGTCCAGACTTGATTATTTACAGACCGCCGTCATATAGCTGGAATATTGCTGGGTGCAGCGTTAAGCAAACAAACAAACAGTATTATGGGAAATTCATTCCAAATCTCTAAACACTGGTTCATCCGCTTCACTATCTGCAGGGTTCGAAATACCTGCCTGCCCGACCGTCTGAGACGGGTTGATTTCAACTCGGGCTGCCAGATTTTCAAATCCACCTGCCCGACGGTCAGGTTATATTTCATATGTAAAAATATTCTAAATATTTCCCGATGATAAGCATTATTTACATGATGTATTCTAGGATATTAAATACAAATCTGACCTAAAAAGTGTTTGCTATTTCTTTTCTTGCATTACTTCATGTTCAATGAATTCGATTTAAAGTTTTAATTAAATTATCCTGAGAAACATATGATTATAGTGGGCAGGCAGGTTTTGGTCAGGGCTGGCAAGTAATTCAGCTAGCCAGTCCTGTGGTCTGGCTGAAAATTTTGGGTGTTTCATACCCTGCTATCTGTTACAAGCAGACAAGGTCTGGAAGTGGAGTGCACAGTGAGGAGACGTGTTTAAACGTGCTAAATATGAGCTTACATCAACTTATGTACTTACTCAGTGCAATGGGAAATTGCCGATTCGCTTAGCTTGTGGTGCATCATCATTTGAAATATATGACATTCAGAGAACCGAGGCTCTCTGTATTCTGATTTTGGAGATCGTGCATTTCTGTATGTGTAGGAAACATACCTGGGGTCAATATCTGTAGTACTTGTGCCGACAACGACCCCTTCAGCCTAAGTTTGCCTGTCCAGTGTACTGTTTATATACACTTAACCATTTGACGGTTCTAGGACTATATTACCATGATTAACACAAGGTAACATATCTTAGGCTGTCTGTATGTAAAGAGGCAGGTGTTGATTCAAGGGTGAGTGAGTTAGTTGGGTTTCACACCACTTTTAACAGTATTACAGTTATAGCGCGGCGTGTCAGCTTAATGTGGGAGGAAAGCCCGAAGTAATGCAGGCCTCAGACGTTTACCACCTTGGTGAAACCCACGAGCACGGGTATGGTGCCGACAAACCTAGAAACATAACTGGGGCAAACCGGGATTCGAACCCACAATCATAGGTTTCTGGCACGCCCAAGGGACGCAACTCTGCACAGCGAATTGCGGCGCCCTAGACGACTGGGCCACCCATGCCCCCTGTTTGATTCATGAATAAAGATAAGCTGTGTGTAAAGTACATGTTCATGACATGCTAATTTTCAAAAAAAAAAATTAAAGAACTCATCATGGTTTTTGTGGCTTCCATTTCATTAATTTTCTAAAAGTTGCTAATAATAATAACAACAATAATAACTATAACAACAACAGCAACAATGATAACAACAACAATAATATTAATAATAATATTAATAATAATATATACAAATTATCAAAAGAAACAACATCAACAATAATGATAATAATAATAATAATAATATATACAAATTATCAAAAGAAAAAAAATAGTCTTCAAATGAAATGTTTTTGAATAAACTATGAAATCTTGCACAGCACATATGAAATCCTATTTGCTGGTATTGTTCCATATTTGACTCTGTAGAGCAATGTATTATGGTTGAAACCTTTAAATGTAGAATGTAAAAGTAAAATGAAATGGTCCCAAGTGCTCCCCCCGCACCCCTTAGTGGTCCCTGCTACTTAACTGTTACCATGGTTACAGACCAGGGGTCCGGAAACCGTCATATGCGCCGGACATGTCCGATTGGGAATCTCAAATGTCCGTTTTAAAATATTGCTTACCGGACATTTTAAAAAGTATTGTCCGGACATTCTTAAATTTTGACCGGACATGATCAACAGTTAGGACTGAGCAGTTTCTGTCTGCAGTTGCCACACAATGAAGATTAACTACACTGACAAGCTTTGTTTGTTTTGATTGCTGTAAATACATCGTACCTGCATGATAGTCCAATCGGTCAATCACTGTAATAGGCAATAAACTGAGTTGACACTGATTAATCGAGGATTAATTACTGAGAACATCTTGTTAATTTGAGTGAAAGGTGTTTACAACTGTACATTAATACCTTGCATCATCGATGTACCTCATTATAATGCAGACTATGCGGCCCCTGCCCCCTGGAGGTGGTTAGTGGCAGCCATTGCTCCGGTTCTCATTGCACTGTATGGGTTGAGGAAGAGGAGCCTGGATGTGGCCGGTGCTGTGGCAGGTACCGTCCCTTTCTTGGAACATACAAATGTTTAAAGACTGCAACATTAGGCTTAAAAAAATAAAAGAATTGGTTCTCAGGCAATGGCTTTTGAAAATATAGTGTGGGCGGTGTGGTTTTTTTTGGTTTTTTTTGTGGGGGATTGTTCAAACTAGTATGTAACCAAATAAACAGTTGTGTACAATCAATTTGGGAAAAGGCCTCCCTTCAAGAATGTATTCGTTGATGAGGAAAATACTGGAATACAGTATTTGACTACCGTTTGACTTGGAATATTTAAGGATTTTGTTGTTTGGGTTTTTTTAACATTGAAAAACAAACGAAACGTGTGTCACACTCTATGATGATGCAGGCGGTACCTGAGAACCAAGACTATTATTTTTTTAAGCCTTAGTCTATAGAATCATTTTAAAGAAATTAATACGAGGGGGGCTGAAAAGTTTTGCGCCTAACTGGGAAGACATTCCAGCATCTGTGGCAAAAGTGTGTGGACCTTGGAGGGGATTATGTTGAAAAATATTCAGCAACCAACGCCATCAAAGCTGTCCATCATAGTTTGACTCAGAACTTTTCAGCCACCCCTCAACGTTTTCCATGTTTGATGACCTGTTACCCTGGTAACCTCTGTAATTCCAGGGTTGTTAGTTGGATTCATCCTGACACTCAGCAGTCTGTGTTTCTTCTCTGCCCTGCTGGTTTTCTTCCTGGCAGGGTCAAAGGTTACCAAACTCAGAGCTCACCAGAAAAAGAAATTTGAGGAAGATTACAAGGAAGGTATGACATGTATGAGACATTGAGTCAAGTGTACTGTGTTGAGACATTGAGACAAGTGTCCTGTGTTGAGACACTGAGACAAGTGTCCTGTGTTGACACAGGTGTCCTGTCTTGAGTCATTGAGACAAGTGTCCTGTGTTGAGACATTGAGACAAGTGTGCTGTGTTGAGACATTGAGACAAGTGTCCTGTGTTAGGGCAAGTGTCCAGTGTTGAGTCATTGAGACAAGTGTGCTGTGTTGAGACATTGAGACAAGTGTCCTGTGTTGAGACATTGAGACAAGTGTCCTGTGTTGAGACATTGAGACAAGTGTCCTGTGTTGAGGCAAGTGTCCTGTGTTGAGACATTAAGACAAGTGTCCCGTGTTGAGTCATTGAGACAAGTGTCCTGTGTTGAGACATTGAGACAAGTGTCCTGTATTGAGACATTGAGACAAGTGTTCCGTGTTGAGACATTGAGACAAGTGTCCTGTATTGAGACATTGAGACCAGTGTCCTGTGTTGAGTCATTGAGACAAGTGTCCTGTATTGAGACATTGAGAAAAGTGTCCTGTGTTGACACAAGTGTCCTGTCTTGAGACATTGAGGCAAGTGTCCTGTGTTGAGACATTAAGACAAGTGTCCCGTGTTGAGTCATTGAGACAAGTGTCCTGTGTTGAGACATTGAGAAAAGTGTCCTGTGTTGACACAAGTGTCCTATCTTGAGTCATTGAGACAAGTGTCCTGTATTGAGACATTGAGACAAGTGTCCTATCTTGAGTCATTGAGACAAGTGTCCTGTGTTGAGTCATTGACACAAATGTCCTGTCTTGAGTCATTGAAACAAGTGTCCTGTATCGAGACATTGAGACAAGTGTCCTATATTGAGACATTGAGACAAGTGTTCCGTGTTGAGACATTGAGACAAGTGTCCTGTGTTGAGTCATTGAGACAAGTGTCCTGTATTGAGACATTGAGACAAGTGTCCTGTATTGAGACATTGAGACAAGTGTCCCGTGTTGAGACATTGAGACAAGTGTCCTGTATTGAGACATTGAGACCAGTGTCCTGTGTTGAGTCATTGAGACAAGTGTCCTGTATTGAGACATTGAGAAAAGTGTCCTGTCTTGAGACATTGAGGCAAGTGTCCTGTGTTGAGACATTAAGACAAGTGTCCCGTGTTGAGTCATTGAGACAAGTTTCCTGTGTTGAGACATTGAGGAAAGTGTCCTGTGTTGACACAAGTGTCCTATCTTGAGTCATTGAGACAAGTGTCCTGTATTGAGACATTGAGACAAGTGTCCTATCTTGAGTCATTGAGACAAGTGTCCTGTGTTGAGTCATTGACACAAATGTCCTGTCTTGAGTCATTGAGACAAGTGTCCTGTATTGAGACATTGAGACAAGTGTCCTGTATTGAGACATTGAGACAAGTGTTCCGTGTTGAGACATTGAGACAAGTGTCCTGTGTTGAGTCATTGAGACAAGTGTCCTGTATTGAGACATTGAGATAAGTGTTCTGTGTTGAGACATTGAGACAAGTGTCCTGTGTTGAGACATTGAGACAAGTGTCCTGTGTTGAGACATTGAGACAAGTGTCCTGTGTTAGGGCAAGTGTCCAGTGTTGAGACATTGAGGCAAGTGTCCTGTGTTGAGACATTAAGACAAGTGTCCCTTGTTGAGTCATTGAGACAAGTGTCCTGTGTTGAGACATTGAGACAAGTGTCCTGTGTTGAGACATTGAGAAAACTGTCCTGTGTTGACACAAGTGTCCTGTGTTGAGACATTGAGACAAGTGTCCTGTATCGAGACATCGAGACAAGTGTCCTGTGTTGAGACATTGAGACAAGTGTCCTGTGTTGAGACATTGAGAAAAATGTCCTGTGTTGACACAAGTGTCCTGTGTTGAGTCATTGAGACAAGTGTCCTGTATTGAGACATTGAGACAAGTGTCCTGTGTTGACACAAGTGTCCTGTCTTGAGTCATTGAGACAAGTGTCCTGTGTTGAGTCATTGACACAAATGTCCTATCTTGAGTCATTGAGACAAGTGTCCTGTATTGAGACATTGAGACAAGTGTTCCGTGTTGAGACATTGAGACAAGTGTCCTGTGTTGAGTCATTGAGACAAGTGTCCTGTATTGAGACATTGAGACAAGTGTCCTGTATTGAGACATTGAGACAAGTGTCCTGTGTTGAGACATTGAGACAAGTGTCCTGTGTTGAGTCATTGAGACAAGTGTCCTGTGTTGAGTCATTGAGACAAGTGTCCTGTATTGAGACATTGAGACAAGTGTCCTGTGTTGAGTCATTGAGATAAGTGTCCTGTGTTGAGATAAGTGTCCTGTGTTGAGATAAGTGTCCTGTGTTGAGTCATTGAGATAAGTGTCCTGTCTTGAGACATATGTTCTGTGTTGAGATAAGTGTCCTGTATTGAGATAAGTGTCCTGTCTTGAGACATATGTTCTGTGTTGAGATAAGTGTCCTGTGTTGAGATAAGTGTCCTGTCTTGAGATAAGTGTCCTGTCTTGAGACATATGTTCTGTGTTGAGATAAGTGTCCTGTGTTGAGATAAGTGTCCTGTGTTGAGATAAGTGTCCTGTGTTGAGATAAGTGTCCTGTCTTGAGACATATGTTCTGTGTTGAGATAAGTGTCCTGTGTTGAGATAAGTGTCCTGTATTGAGACATATGTTCTGTGTTGAGATAAGTGTCCTGTCTTGAGACATATGTTCTGTGTTGAGATAAGTGTCCTGTGTTGAGATAAGTGTCCTGTGTTGAGACATGTGTCATGTGTTACAGGTGGTCAGCGGAACTGGCTGCAGGTGATGTGTAACGGTGGTGTAGCCTCACTGTTTGCTATCCTGTACCTGCTCGAGGTTGGCTGTGCGGAGAAGACATTTGACTTCTCCAGAAGATACTCCTCAACGTGGTGGGCTGCCAGTGTACTAGGATCACTGGCTTGTTGTTGTGGGGACACATTTGCTTCTGAAGTCGGAACAGTGTTTGGTCATTCAAAACCATGGCTTGTGACCAACTTCCAGAGGGTGCCAAGAGGTAAGTGGTAAGGACATATGGTTTCCATGGTTACAGGAGGCTTTAGAAGGCATGTGTCCATTGTGATTTCAGATTTTCAGTCTTGCAGAGTGTTTCAAAATTAAGCTGCTTTTTGATAGTTTGGGTACTGTACATTCAAATTAATGCGAGTACTGACCACTAACTTCAAATTTCATAATGAATCATCAGCTAGTTTAAGATCTAATCAGCGAAGGACAACTTTAAGACTGTAGACTTAGAATTCCATGATAACGTAAAGGGTCATAGCAATTCGATTGAATAATACTGTAACCGTGAAGATCCATGCTTGCCGTAAGAGGTGACTATGCATGTCGTAAGAGGCAACTAACGGGATCAGGTTGTCAGTCTTGTGGTTTATGCATGACATCCTATCCCTACTGCGTGGATTGATGCTCATGATATCAATCACTAGATTGTCTGGTCCAGACTTGATTATGTACAGACCCCAATCTTGTAGCTGGAATATTGTCGAGTATGATGTTAAACAACAAACAAACAAACAAACAAACAAACAAACAAAGAATAATACTGAATGCCTTTTGCCACTGAAGTGATGTCTCCAAGTGTGATCTAACTTGAAGGACATCAAGAATAGGAAATTCAATGTAAGCTGTTTATGCAAATGAGATAAGTCAGGTCAACCAACAGATGATTGTGCATGGGTCCAAGTTTTGTCACGTACATGAGCATGTTGATCGATTCATCATGACAACTGTACATTACATTTCACCATGCGGGTGAGCAGTGTTTTCCTTGTAATTTGAGATTATCTGATATGGTTTCCAAGGACAAAGATACTGTCCTATTAGTAGAAAACCAACCTGTAGGTCCCATGACCAAATCATTGAAACAAAGGTTTGAAAGTGTTTTTGAGTTTCCTGATGTATACTGAACAATTTTGACTTGGGCTGCCTGGTTGAAAATCCCGGGCATTTTGGGGAAGGGTCAACAAAGGTCAAACAGGGGTCAAAATTCAAAATTGTGTCGATATGCATATCAAATGACTCGTCCAGTCATAAGGAACAACTGCCTATATACATGTGTTAAACTGACATAACTGCCCCATCAACTTGTTTTAAACTGACACAACTGCCTATGAACTTGTGTTAAACTGACATAACTGCCTCATGAACTTGTGTTAAGCTGACATAACTGCCTCATCAAATTGTGTTAAACTGACATAACTGCCTCATTAACTTGTGTTGAACTGACATAACGTCCTCATCAACTTGTGTTAAACTGACACAACTGCCTATGAACTTGTGTTAAACTGACATAACTGCCTCATCACCTTGTGTTAAACTGACATAACGTCCTCATCAACTTGTGTTAAACTGACATAACTGCCTCATGAACTTGTGTTAAACTGACACAACTGCCTATGAACTTGTGTTAAACTGTCATAACTGCCTCATCAACGTGTGTTAAACTGACACAACTGCCTATGAACTTGTGTTAAACTGACATAACTGCCTCATCAACATGTGTTAAACTGACATAACTGCCCCATCAACTTGTGTTAAACTGACACAACTGCCTATGAACTTGTGTTAAACTGTCATAACTGCCCCATCAACTTGTGTTAATCTGACACAACTGCCAATGAACTTGTGTTAAACTGTCATAACTGCCTCATGAACTTGTGTTAAGCTGACATAACTGCCTCATCAAATTGTGTTCAACTGACATAACTGCCTCATTAACTTGTGTTGAACTGACATAACGTCCTCATCAACTTGTGTTAACCTGACATAACTGCCTCATCAACATGTGTTAAACTGACATAACTGCCTCATCAAATTGTGTTAATCTGACACAACTGCCAATGAACTTGTGTTAAACTGTCATAACTGCCTCATGAACTTGTGTTAAGCTGACATAACTGCCTCATCAAATTGTGTTCAACTGACATAACTGCCTCATTAACTTGTGTAGAACTGACATAACGTCCTCATCAACTTGTGTTAACCTGACATAACTGCCTCATCAACTTGTGTTGAACTGACATAACTGCCCCATGAACTTGTGTTAAACTGACATAACTGCTGCATGAACATGTGTTGAACTGACACCTGACACAATGCTCGGTGAGAAGCACTCAGTCCAGAACTCAACTGCTTTGTTTATTTGGATACTTGTTGTTTATGTAATTATGTCCGGCATGTCTACTGTCCCTAACGTGACAATAAACAGCAATATGTCCGGATAATCATGATAATAATGCTCTATTTTTTTAATGAAAGCAGTAATTTGATGTTACTTCTTTGAGAGACATTTAGAAGTTTCAATACTAGGTAAGGTTAAGACATATGGATGAACAACTTCTTTATTACAATGAAGAGTGATGTTCAGTGTTGGTTCCAACAAGTATACCTGATCTATAACAGTGTTATAACCTACACTGAAACATCGCTCCTAATTGTAATAAGTATACCTGATCTATAACAGTGTTAGAACCTACACTGAAAAATCGCTCCTAATTGTAATAAGGAAGTTGTTCATCCATATATCTTTTCCTTAATTAATTTCATGATTTACACTATCAGTCCTTGTGATGTTTTGTTATTTTGATTTGTGTTGAAGGCACTAATGGCGGTGTGACATTTACTGGAACCCTGAGCAGCATTTTCGGAGGGTTTATTGTTGGAGTAGCCTACTATGTGGCCTTGCTGCTGTGTACTACAGAGCTGTCCTTGAGTGACAGTCCCCCCCAGTGGCCCATCCTCCTCCTCGCCACATCTGCAGGCTTCGTGGGGTCCATCATAGACTCCTACCTGGGTGCTCTGCTTCAGTTCTCAGGTAAAATATCAATACCTGGGGTCCGGGGATGATGGGAGGGATGTTGGGAGAAGAAAAATATCATCAGGAATTATGAAGTGCCTAACATGAATCAGTCCTTATGCAAAACATGTACAGATGTATCACCACTCTATGCCCATAATCAGACTATGTTTCAGGGACCCTGTTTCAGGGACCCTGTTTTAGTGACCCTGTTTCAGGGACCCTGTTTCAGGGATCATGTTTCCGGGGCCATGTTTCAGGTACCCTGTTTTAGGGACACTGTTTCAGGGACCATGTGTCAGGGACCTTGTTTCAGGAACCGTGTTTCAGGGATCATGTTTCAGGGATCGTGTTTCAGGGACCGTGTTTCAGGGACCGTATTTCAGGGATCGTGTTTCAGGGACCGTGTTTCAGGGACTATGTGTTTTCCCCCAGTTGACCTTTCTTTGTTCATAATCCCGGGTTCTATGCCAGTGGTATAGGCAACTAAGTGGATCGGGTGATCAGACTCAGTGATGGCATGGATGATTGCTCATAATGTCAATCACTGGATTGTAATAAACTTTAACAAAGAAAACCACAAGAACAAATTTAAAACAGTTTTAAATGAAGAGATGGTGACTGAATGTAACAGTTAGTTGGCGCATCCTCAGCCACCACGTTCCCTTAATCTGCCATGCTTACTGGTGGCGCTATGCTACTTCTGCAATTATGGGAAGTAACTCTTTTGGTTTCTGTTCTATTTATAGAGTATCGCAATGTCACAAACTGAAGAATCAAGTATCATGTGTACCTAAGTATCGATGATATTGTAGGAATCGGTGAATTGTTTCAGACCTACAGGATTGTCTGGTCCAGATTTGATTGTTTACAGGCCACGGTCATATGTGTGGATTATTGCTGAATGCAGCGTTAAAAAACAAACAAACAAATACAATCGCATGAAAAATCCCAGAAAATGTGATGAATTCTAAATATTGTATGATTGATCAGGCTATACACGTTTCCTGATTATACACATGCCGTGTAACATATATACATGTAGAAGTAAACAGAGCTGTATTGTACTCTTACTCCCCAGGGTACGACCGGCGGCGTGCTTGTATCGTGGAACACCCGGGGCCCCATGTGGAACACATTAGCGGCTACGCAGTCCTTGACAACCATGGTGTCAACCTCCTTTCTTCACTCCTCACGGGAATTATCTCCCCTTACATTGCCTGGCAACTGTGGCTGCATGTCACATGACGTGATATATCATCACCAAACAGAAATCATTGAAACAAAAGTGATGAGGATCTCCCTGAATATGTGACCTAAGATTGACCTTGAAAGTCACATGATCACAATATACGTCTTGGTACATCTAATTCATCTTCCCGAAGCAAGGGAGTTAACTGACTATAAAAGTTCAGTTTCCACCCTTGCCGGACTAGGCTGGAATTTCTGGGCTCGCTAGTACCACCACCACCAGTGGCTAGTATGAGTGATGTCCCTTCTGTGTCCCTCCTATTGACCAATCAGATTCCACCTCTCATATCACTTGCATTTGCTTCAAGCAAAATGATCTGACAGATAATTAAGATCTTTATTGTAATAAAATGAGTCCTACCTCGCGAAGTGCATCAGATCACTTCAGCACCTTGATTAAAAACATAAAATGATCAGGAAAATATCTGTTGACGCAGAGTTGGCCATACAGATGCTTTGCAAATACAGCATCCACCGAAACCTGCCCCACAGTTACGAACCAGATGTTGATTTTGTTAAGCGATTTTGATTGGTCTATGCATAGACTCGTAATTCCAGCCAAAATATAACTCCATACATCCAGCCTAGTACGGCAAGGGTGGAAACTGGACTTTCATAGTCAGTTAACTTCCTTGCCTGGGGAAGATGTACCTAATTGTGCTCAGAAGGTTTACAAAAGGATTTTAGACGTGTTCATTTCATAAATCATGTCATTGATTTGATTTTATGAAAAAGAGTTTTAGGTGTCTTATCTTTGATCTACTATTTACACAGAACAAGTATATGGTTCGACTTGTGCAATTCTGTTTAATTTGTTCTATCATGCCATGCACTTATAAACACTACTGCACGCCTCATTCACCTTATCTACAGCCTTAGAAATTCATCTTGTTTTCATGTTCCAGATGACTATGTAAGCCTTATTTCACTAGTCCTCTGTGTTTGTAGCTGGTCCTGCTTGAATCAGGCACAAAACTTGTATTCATTTCCAGATGGGGGGCGGGGTGGTCGGGTAGCCTAGTGGTTAAAGCGTTCGCTCCTCACGCCGAAGACCCGGGTTCGATTCCCGACATGGGTACAATGTGTGAAGCCCATTTCTGGTGTCCCCTGCCATGATATTGCTGGAATATTGCTGGAATATTGCTATTCCACTCACTCACTCACTCACTCACTCACTCACTCACTCCAGATATGGGGGGGGCCATGTGTGGCCCAGTCGTCTAAGGCACCACAATTCGCTGTGCAGAGTTGCATCCCTTGGGCATGCCAAAAACCTATGATTGTAGGGTCGAATCCCGGTTCACCCCAATTATATTTCTAGGTTTGTCAGCACCATACCGGTCCTTGTAGGTGTCACCGAAGTGGTAAATGTCTGTCACCTGAATCACTTCGGGCTTTCCTCCCACATTAAGCTGACACCCTGCGATATAACTGGAATACTGTTAAAAGCAGCGTTAAACCCAACTCATTCACTCAGTTCCAGATGTAGCAAATTGAAGCATTGAGATCTGGTTCAGAATTTCAGCCATCAAATGCATCAATGGTAGTCAGTGGGAACTGCCATCATTGGATTTTTACTTGTCCTCAGCACAATTTAGTGGTCTCGGGCTCGGGCTCGGACAAGCATGAATTTTGAAGGCTGTATCGATCTGATTCAAAGAATCTCCATTTTAATGCCACACAGGGTTTCTCAAAAGTCTGACCACACAGACAGCTGCAAGGAGGAGATGTTACTACACTTTATGTGTAAAACATTCTCAGAGAAATCTTACATGCCAGACAGACTTGGAAGAGCCCAGTATGTGGCGTTTACCATGTCTAGAATAGGGTGTACATGTTCCTTACCATGACATCCCAGCACAAACAGTTTGAAAATAAACACCATGTCTTTGACAACTGGACCTGTGGATCGGCATTAACCATGCGTCATTATCAACAGCAGGGGTGGAGGGAGTGCTGGTCGTCCAGTGAGCTGTGTATGCTTGACAGTCTCTGTGGGACAAAGAATCTGTGATTAATGTGTCAGCAGTCGAAGACAGATAACCGTATACAATCAATTCACTACTGGGAACCGCTACAGTGTATGTGGAGAGGATGTATGGATTCCAACTTCTTCATGAACTGTAAAGGCAACATTTCGGTAAAGTGTAACCTTAGGTTCCGGGTACTTTACCCTTCTACCTTTGGTCACTGACATCAATCACTGGATTGTCTGGTCCAGATTCGATTATTTACAGGCACTGTCATATTGCTGGAGTAGTGCTGAGTGCTGCATTAAACAACAAACAAACAAAACGAGTCAATACACCAGCTGACACCGGCAGTTAATAACACCATCCATAAGGCTGTTTCGGTGTAAGTATACAACTGTTTAGATAATTGAGTCGCACCTACTTGTTGTAAGCTTGTTTACAGTATTTTTAATTCTCTTATTACATATGCTGAATTTTTCATCAAAAGAAGTATCCTTTCAACTCCCTTCATCCATATTTTTAACTGAGGTGTATGTGAAATCTGTTTCAATGTTTATTTTTAACATATTGATGATGACGGTCTTGAATGTGATATGCACTGTACATTATGAACACTCTGATTTTGATGCTATATTTTTCTAATTGAATAAATGAGAGAAAAAACTATATTGTTTGTGTATGGTTTTATTGTTCAGCCAAACTGTGACTGTCCTGTGATTGTGAGCAAGTTGGTGTTGATGATGTTTTACACTGCAGTCAGCAATTTTCCACCAGCCACATGACACAGGCTGCAGTCTTAACAATAGACAGATATTTAGTCCCAGAAATAAAGTTATCTTATTTAAAAATATGTATCTACAAAATTTTAAAAATATTCCAAATGGAGCCCTAAACAATTCTTCCTACAGAAAATTACAAGATAATAGTAAATAGCATAGTGATTTTTTTTTTCATCGCATTGTGCTCAGTTACTAGGAAAAATCCCTAAAGATGGTTATGATCATTTCTAGAACTACTAATAAAGATGTGTTACTGTTGCTGGGCAACCTGCAAGACAACACTTGCAGTCAATTCTGGAACATTAAGAAGTCTTACCTCTATACTAAAGGCCAGATTATATCAAATGCCTTCCATCACGAGAATTTGGAATGACTCTAATGTTAACCTTAAATGATAAGGCTTGTCAGTGATACCATAATATCATTAGGGTTGGACATTGTTTCCTTTTTAAAATTAAATTGATTTAACATAGTTCAGTCATAATCATAGTACGACCGACCCAGTGACTGAGTGATCAGAGCTCGCCAGTGAGTGCTGTTCAGTGGAAACAGACTTCAGTCACCTCACCACTAATCCGTGACTAAAACAACATTCAGTCGAGTGGGAACAAACCGTCGTCAGTCAGTCAGAGGATTTTATGACGCTTCTGTGACTATGAATAAAACCTTTTGACAACGTCAGTGCTCCAGACAACCCTCTGGTTCACTGCTCCGAAGCTGAGCACTGGAAGACACACCTGTCAGAAACACCATGCACCCAGGCAGCGTGAATGAAGTAAAGAGGTACTTCATAGCATAACATACACGTGTCCTGGTGTTCTATTTCGTTTCTCTATCCCTTCTGGCTGTCGATTATTAATGTTGTAACTATTATACAGATAATGGTCCAAATTGGACTTGTACCAACTCCGTTTCACTATTGTGAACGAATTTTGTGTAAAACAAATAATGTAAAGATATTTTTTGTCCACCAATGTAAAAACAGGTATTATATATAATTAAGTTAATCTAACAGTATACTCGCATGAGTCAAAGTTGCTGACACTTCACCAGTATTAGTCAAAGCAGAGAGTGAGTGAGTGAGTGAGTATGGTTTTACGCCGCTTTTAGCAATATTCCAGCAATATCACGGCGGGGGACACCAGAAATGGGCTTCACACATTGTACCCATGTCGGGAATCGAACCCGGGTCTTCGGCGTGACGAGCGAACGCTTTAACCACTAGGCTACCCGACCGCCCCCAAAGCAGAGACTATGACATATTTTATGGTCTCTGGTAAAAGTAGCTATCATCATCATCATCATCATCATCTATATCATCATCGTCTTCGTCGTCGTTGTTGTTGCTGTATACACTTATATACCGTAGGTATCCAGGTACTAGTATCTGTTCAAATGCGGTTTTATTTGTTTCCCAATCAGTGGTTCCGTTTGCATTTCAGTTATCATTCTCAACTCCCTGGGGAGTATACAAGCAAGCTGCGTACGGGCGCTAGAGGGTTTTTGAATCCACCTGACATATCGGGTACCCATTCCCTGCTGGAAAGCCACGTTCCCTCCATTGTGTTTCGTATCGAAACACCGATCAAGTCAGTTGAAATATCCAACAGCTTCAATCACACAACCAACACTGTCTTACATGTAGCCGCCCGAAGTGTTCTGATAGATCAAGCCTGAACCAGTGCACATTATCTGTTCCGATCGTTTTTTAAAAGAAATGCATTATCATTTTACTCTGATACTGGCATTAACATATTTGCCCATCCATTACATTGTATTGCTTTCTGCTGTGTCGACATGAAGCACACAACGCTGTAGACATTGAGAGCCAGTGTTAAATTAACGGACGTCATCTATCCAGCTAAAGGCATGACGAGTCTCCACAATAACGTATCGACTGTCGAAGGGTGTCAATTATGTCGCTATAATCAGAGCAAGTGTAATTACACGTGTAGCGACAGATAATAAGATCTATTGACGGACAGAGTATGCACTGATATGAGACCCGACCGGATCAGCAGTCAGGCTGCGTCGTCGTACCCGTGATGCGATTCGCTGTGCAGAGTTGCGTCCCCTGGACACGCCAGAAACCTATCAGTGTGGGTTCGAATCCCGGTTCGCCCCGATTATGTTTCTAGGTTTGTCAGCACCATACCCGTACTCGTGGGTTTCACCGAAGTGGTAAACGTCTCATACCTGCATCACTTCGGGTTTTCCTTCCACATTAAGCTGACATGCCGTGATATAACTGGAATACTGTTAAAAGCGGCGTTAAACCCAACTCACTCACTGACTCACTCAAAGACATTGACATTCTTATGAGATCCACCCATGGCCATCTGCATGACCTGCTAACCACACCAACTATCCTATCAACTTCTACTCGTATCAACCTATAGGTACCATCCAGGCAGACGCTGTATTCCCTGTACCACGAGGGCGATCAATGTGGCTGAGAGTATGTGAGGGTAATAAATATGATAACGCAGGCCATTAAGATTTTGTATCTACACTTATCACGAAGCATCTTAAATTTAGGTCTATTCACAATTTAAAATCAATATGCCCATCCCGCCCATTAGCAACGACACCATTGCGTTGATTATGTATGTAATATAATAGATTTGTGACAGAAACAAGCGTTTGCAGAGATAGGATAAGTGTATCGAGTTGTATGGTCCGGAGTTTCTATTGTGCCGCATGCAATTGTGCAAATAAGTTTGATCAATTAAAAAAAATAGAAAATCTCTTCAGTTATGTGGAAATATTTTATCTTCACAGTTGTTGGTTGTGGAGCACATAACGGAGTGTTCGGTATGTTAGCAACGGAAACAACAGATAGAAACAGATCAATCATCTCAGTCCATTAGCAGAGAGGCGGTTGAGGTATTACCAGTCATTTACAAACTGAGCAGTGTTAATTCATTGATTTAGTTGTAATATATAGTTTAAAAGCAATTGGTCGGCACTTACATGACAGAAGAAATGACAGCGCTGGAGCAACTGGGAGAACCTGTGTTAGCCACGGTCTCTTGCAGGTAGAATCTGAGTGTTTTTCTGGTGTGACCTCGGTCAATGCTGGGGACATTGTATCTCTTCTGAAAGTGTTCCTGGTGTTGGCTTCCGCCTTGGATGAAGACCGAATTTCTCTTGAAGGTGTTGCTTGGCATGAGACTGAATATCGTCTTTTGTTGATGGAACTGTTTTGAAGGTCCCTCTGAACCTACTTCTGGTGTGGATCTCCGTCTTTGGGTTGAGAAAAGACTCACCCTACTGTGTGTATTGCAGATTTACAGTCCACTGTGGACGCCATTGCTCGGAAGGAGACCTCCGCCTGGCTATAC